AAAATGTCAGAAAATTGTGATAAAGACCCATCAAGTGTTTCTGAAAGTCCAAGGAAATATCTTTGAAACCAAAAATAATCACTCTTTTAAGATATAAAACAGACAAAAAGCAGCTCAAAATAGCATTTTCTGACATTTTTTAATTAAATATAACCTTAGGCATTCATGAATTATTAAAATATTTGCATTTCTTTGTGTCAATTGATTTATTAACCACTGCAGCTCATGCATATCATGTATGCATGAGGCTTTTACAAACCACTTGTTCACTAACAAACATAACCATTACAAAATATATATTTACAACAAAAAAATGCAACTTTAAAAGAAACCATGCAGAAAACAGAGGATGTAGAAAAAGGAGGTGATTACTCACACACACATCTGCATTTCATTTGAATATTGGCTATCAACAAAGCTCAGGAAATGGTTTTTATGCACTGGAAATCAGACGGTTTTAAGTCGTGAAGAAGGGAAAACTATATCATAGCAGGACGAGGCTTACTTTTCTTACTTTTTCCTCCATTTTCCTGTCAAAATAAGCTCAGTTTTTTGATAACTGCTTGTAAGAAAAACCATCCTAAGGCCACATTTCAAAGAATGAATAAACTACTGATGAGCTGATAACCAGTTCTATCACCAAAAGAAAAAGGTTGCTTGGTGTAATTACCAAAATATTGTAATTTCCTGTTTGTTTGACTGTTATCACACCTGCAGATTGTCCCTCACGATGTCAGTGATGCCTCTGTTACGAAACATCCCTTCTGTTATTAGATAAAGTTCATGAACATTGTATAAGATGCACACAAAACGAAATACTAAATAATGTGTTGGTGTAAAAAGTCCAATAATTAAACCTCCTCTCTTCCCCCTCTTCTTCGTCAAATAAGAAGTTACAATTATTTATACAAGCATGAAAAGATCAAATGAGAATTTATTAAAATATAAACATTACAATTAGACGGTTTCAAGCGAGAGCGGCAAAATTAATCAACTTAAAGTGGACCTATCATGCTATATTTGAATAATATAGTGTAGGACCATACCTATATAAGGCATATTTATACTTTTTTTTTTTCAAAATACCAAACAGATCATGCATTTTAGCCATGCCTCATTTCGCTCAATTTGAAAAATGTTAGCTCTGTTTTTGCAAGGGCTGATTCATGTGAGAACAGCACCACCTACAGGCCTGGCATATGTACTACAGCGTCTCCAGCGCTTTCGAACGGCAATGGCCGTGGCTGTCTCCTCCTGATTGGTGGAGTTGGCCCAATAGCCGTAGCGCCACCGTCCTGACGTCAGGACAGTGTTCAAATCTGGATCAGTCTGTATCAGATCCGTTGCAGCCCCTTTTTTAGAGATTTGGGTATGGAGGAAAATAGAGAGGGTTGTGTTTTCTGACACTTGGTGAGTTCCCTGGAACACCGGGGACACATATTCATGTAGAAAAGACGTACAAAAGTGCATTTTGCATGATAGGTCCCCTTTAAGTCATGAAGAAGGGGAAAGCATATCATAGCAGGACGAGGCTACACAGTAGTACTTTTTGCTCCATTTTCCTGTCAAAATGAGCTCTGTTTTGGTGTTGAAAGTCCACTAATGAAACCTCTTCTCTCCTCTCTTCCCCTCAGGCCCTGGATGGCTTCTTCTTCGTGGTGAACATGGAGGGGAACATCGTGTTCGTGTCTGAGAACGTGACGCAGTATCTGCGCTACAACCAGGAGGAGCTGATGAACACCAGCGTGTACAGCGTGCTGCACGTCGGAGACCACGCCGAGTTCATCAAGAACCTGCTGCCCAAATCCCTCGGTCAGAAACACTGCTTTATTATCATTTAACCCTTTAGGTGTTCCCTCCGTCAGTCTGTGTCTCCACGTCTCCACCTGACACCTTCATCTCTTCCTTAGACTCAATCAACGGGACGTACGTTTGATTTAAACTCTGAAACGTGACGTCTTTCTGACTCTTCCCTTCTCCTGCCTTCTGTCCTCTACACACACCTCTCTTCTTCACACCTTCACCCTTCTATAGACTCACTAATCGACGTACGATTGATTAAATTACTGAAACGTGACGTAGAGGATGTGGGAAACCTGTGTCTCCACGTCTCTTTCTGACACCCTCACCTCTTCGTTAGACTCAATTAACGTGACGTACGTTTGATTAAACTCTGAAACGTGACGTAGAGGATGTGGGAAACCTTTCTCTATATCTTCTCTGTTTTCCTGGCTCTTGTCCTCTACACGCACCTCTCTTCTTCTCACCTTCACCTCTTCTATAGACTCACTAATCACGACGTACGATTGATTAAATTACTGAAATGTGCACCTAGAGGATGTGGGAAACCTGTGTCTCCGTCTTCTCTGTTTTCCTCGCTCTTGTCCTCTACACACATCTCTCTTCTTCTCACATTAACCAATCTATGTTTGATAAAAACACTTCATCTTCCCTTCCTCTACCTCCTTTCCTCGTCCTCTTATCTCCTCTCCCCTCCCTCGTCTCGTCTCCTTTCCTCTCCCAATTATCTTCTCTTATCTCCTCTGCTCTCCTCTTTTTCCTCTACTTTCTCAATCCTCTCTCCCATCCTCCGCTCAGCTTGTCCTCTTCCCTTCCTCTACCTCCTTCCCTCGTCTCCTCGTCCTCATCTCCTCTCCTCGTCCTCTCTCCTCTTCCCTTCCTCCCCCCTTCCTCTGTATTGAGGTCTGCTTGCTCACCATCTGCCTCTCTGCTCCTCCTGAACGATCATCACAGTGTCCCAGATTCTGCACAATATCAATGCTCTGAATCAGATCACTAGCCAGATGGAGTTAGCTGGAGTTAGATGTGTGTGTGTGTGTGTGTGTGTGTGTGTGTGTGTGTGTGTGTGTGTGTGTGTGTGTGTGTGTGTGTGTTTAGTTTGTGTGTGTGTGTGTGTGTGTTTAGTTTGTGTGTGTGTGTGTGTGTGTTTAGTTTGTGTGTGTGTGTGTGAGAGACTGAGACTGTTCATCTCTCTCTTTCTTCTTCTTCTTCTCTGTGATAGAGAGTAGATTGGCAGTGGTGTTTTAGAGCAGTGGTTCTCAACTGGTGGGTCGCGACCCAAAAGTGGGTCGCGGGTCCGTTTCGAGTGGGTCGCGGATGTGTGAGTGAAGAAAAAAAAAAAAAAAAGTTTTAATTTTTTTTTTTGCTTTTTTTTTTAAACTTTTATTTTGAAGGCCCGTGAAAAACAAACAATGGCAGAAAATATTATGAATATGTCGGGTAGTAATAGATGTATTTATTTTCTTCTCAGAGTGTACCAGAATGTGTAGTTTATATGTTAGTATTTCTAAAAATCTCCTGGGGGAGAATCCCCCCAGACCCCCTGCTGGGGTTGGGTTTTCAGCATGTCACGTTTTTATGTTATATAGTTCAGCTTTGATTCCATCATCTCATTAAACCTTTTTAAAAGCATACTTTGGTTCTGTGAAGGGATATATGCACTGTACTTCACTTTAATTAATATTGTATGCTGAAAAGCGTATATATTACAGCACTATTTTTTGTTGAATAGATTTAAGTGGTTCAAAATGGTGGGTCGCGATTTATTGACAAAGTAAAAAGTGGGTCCCGAGGCCTGACCAGTTGAGAACCACTGGTTTAGAGGACATGCATGTGGAGTCCTGTCTGTGATGCTCATTACGTCTGAACTCTACCCGGCAACACCTCTTCCTCTTCCTCACACTCCTTCCTCTTATCTCTTTTGTGCATGTTTTTATGAATCTGTTATTCCTTTCTGTTGTCTTCTTGTTAAGTGTTAATGATGATGTAAAGCGCTTTGACTTGCCTCTGTGTCTGACAGTGTGCTTTTATAAATCAATGTACCTTAGCTTCACATATTAAATGTTCCTTCCTCCTGCAGTGAACGGCGTCCCGTGGTCCAGCGAGGGTCCCAGGAGGAACAGCCACACCTTTAACTGCCGGATGTTGGTGAATCCTCACAGTGAGAACACGGAGGAATCGCAGGAGCACGAGCCTCAGACGCAGAAATACGAAACCATGCAGTGCTTCGCTGTGTCCGAGCCCAAGTCCATCAAAGAGGAGGGAGACGGTACGAAGATATGATGAAACTCTGTGAATTACATCCATTCACGTCATATGTATAGTAATCATGGTGTTTAACACTTGATAACCTAGAGGGGTGAAGAGATGTTGTATTTCTGTCTTTTCCCCTGAATGCAGCATCTCCCTGGTCCAATGGGATTTCTCCAAATAATGTCAACATTTATGATACGTTTAGTTCAGCAGGATAATCTCCACATGTTAACACCACTTTATGATTTCTGAGGTAAAAAGCTACATTTGGGCTATAAAGGAACTACAGCACGGTCACATGACTTCACGTCACCACCGCTAAGCTAAAGGTGGCTAATGTTGGGCTATAAAGGAACTACAGCACGGTCACATGACTTCACGTCACCACCGCTAAGCTAAAGGTGGCTAATGTTGGGCTATAAAGGAACTACAGCACGGTCACATGACTTCACGTCACCACCGCTAAGTTAAAGGTGGCTAATGTTGGGCTATAGAGGAACTACAGCACGGTCACATGACTTCACATCACCACCGCTAAGCTAAAGGTGGCTAATGTTGGGCTATAAAGGAACTACAGCACGGTCACATGACTTCACGTCACCACCGCTAAGCTAAAGGAGGCTAATGTTGGGCTATAAAGGCACTACAGCACGGTCACATGACTTCACGTCACCACCGCTAAGCTAAAGGTGGCTAATGTTGGGCTATAAAGGAACTACAGCACGGTCACATGACTTCACCTCACCACCGCTAAGCTAAAGGTGGCTAATGTTAGGCTATAAAGGAACTACAGCACGGTCACATGACTTCACGTCACCACCGCTAAGCTAAAGGCGGCTAATGTTGGGCTATAAAGGAACTACAGCACGGTCACATGACTTCCCGTCACCACCGCTAAGCTAAAGGAGGCTAATGTTAGGCTATAAAGGAACTACAGCTCGGTCACATGACTTCACGTCACCACCGCTAAGCTAAAGGCGGCTAATGTTGGGCTATAAAGGAACTACAGCACGGTCACATGACTTCACGTCACCACCGCTAAGCTAAAGGCGGCTAATGTTGGGCTATAAAGGAACTACAGCACGGTCACATGACTTCACGTCACCACCGCTAAGCTAAAGGCGGCTAATGTTGGGCTATAAAGGAACTACAGCACGGTCACATGACTTCCCGTCACCACCGCTAAGCTAAAGGAGGCTAATGTTAGGCTATAAAGGAACTACAGCTCGGTCACATGACTTCACGTCACCACCGCTAAGCTAAAGGCGGCTAATGTTGGGCTATAAAGGAACTACAGCACGGTCACATGACTTCACGTCACCACCGCTAAGCTAAAGGCGGCTAATGTTGGGCTATAAAGGAACTACAGCACGGTCACATGACTTCACGTCACCACCGCTAAGCTAAAGGCGGCTAATGTTGGGCTATAAAGGAACTACAGCACGGTCACATGACTTCCCGTCACCACCGCTAAGCTAAAGGAGGCTAATGTTAGGCTATAAAGGAACTACAGCTCGGTCACATGACTTCACGTCACCACCGCTAAGCTAAAGGTGGCTAATGCTGGGCTATAAAGGAACTACAGCGCGGTCACATGACTTCACGTCACCACCGCTAAGCTAAAGGTGGCTAATATTGGGCTATAAAGGAACTACAGCACGGTCACATGACTTCACGTCACCACCGCTAAGCTAAAGGTGGCTAATGCTGGGCTATAAAGGAACTACAGCCCGGTCACATGACTTCACGTCACCACCGCTAAGCTAAAGGTGGCTAATGCTGGGCTATAAAGGAACTACAGCCCGGTCACATGACTTCACGTCACCACCGCTAAGCTAAAGGTGGCTAATGCTGGGCTATAAAGGAACTACAGCCCGGTCACATGACTTCACGTCACCACCGCTAAGCTAAAGTTGGGCTATAAAGGAACTACAGCTGTGCAAAAACGAGATTTGATGATCAAAAATAATACTTTTCTTTTGAAGTAGCTCTACTTCAGTGAAAATGTAAATGTTTCTCTCTCAGGCTCAACCTGTCTTTCCTCTCTCTGGCTTCCTCTGAGCACCAGCTGCCTGCCAGCCGTACTCTGGCAGAAACACTGACTAGGACCCGGGCCAGGGTTGTGAGAGAGTGTGTTTGTGTGTGTGTGTGTGTGTGTGTATGTGTGTGTGTGTGGGGTAAGGCAGGATCAGTGGTTCCAGTGCAGGAATTTGTCCAGCCGTAGACAGGAAGGAGAGAGAAAGCAGGAGTGGTGTGTGTGTGTGTGGTGTGTGTGTGTGTGTGTGTGTGTGTGTGTGTGTGTGTGTGTGTGTGTGTGTGTGTGTGTGTGTGTGTTGTGTGTGTGTGTGTGTGTGTGTGTGTGTGTGTGTTGTGTGTGTGTGTGTGTGTGTGTGTGTGTGTGCTGTGTGTGTCGTGTGTGTGTGTGTGTGTGTGTGTTGTGTGTGTGTGTGTGTGTGTGATGTGTGTGTGTGTGTGCTGTGTGTGTGTGTGTGTGTGTGTGTGTGTGTGTGTGTGTGTGTGTGTGTGTGTGTGTGTGTGTGTGTGTGTGTGTGTGTGTGTGTGTGTGTGTGTGTGGTGTAAGGCAGGATCAGTGGTTCCAGTGCAGGAATTTGTCCAGCCGTAGACAGGAAGGAGAGAGAAAGCAGGAGAATTGAGAGAGATTCATAGATCTAAGGGCCGGACCACCCAAGAGTGTGTGTGTGTGTGTGTGTGTGTGTGGGGCACGGAGAAAGTGTGTGTGTGTGGGGCACGGAGAAAGTGTGTGTGGCAGAGAGAAAGTTAGATGGCAGACTTTTTCGGGGTCACCCAGTCCTGCCCATGGTGTCATCTGTGTGTGAGAGACATGTTACTGTCATGATTGAGCGATGGCCGTCTTTAATGATGTCGGGCCAGGGGAAGTGTCATCAGTGTGAGATGACACTGCAGGTGAGACTAGGCAGTGACGCAGGCCAACACACACACACACACACACACACACACACACACCTTCAAAGGTCACACTCCATCATCTCCCTTGCTGCTCCTCTTCATGAAGGAAGTGGAGCTCTGATCCCTGTGCTCATTAATAACTGTATTAATTACGCTGCATGGGAATAACATGCATTTAATTTTCTTTCTCACTCTCTTCCTCTTCCTCCCCCCTCCTCTTCATCACCTCCTCCTCTTCATCACCTCTTCCTCCTCTCAGATTTCCAGTCCTGTCTGATCTGTGTGGCTCGCAGAGTGCCGATGAAAGAGAGACCGGTGCTGCCGACTCACGAGAGTTTCACCACGCGCCAAGACCTGCAAGGTACACACACACACACACACACACACACACACACACAACCACACACAACCCCACACACACACAGACACAACCACACACACAGAACCAACCACACACACACACACACACAACGACACATACACACACACACACAGACACAACCACACATACACACACACACACACACACAACCCCCCACACAACCCCACACACACACCCCCACGCACACAACCCCACACACACAACCCCCTACACAACCACACACACACACAGACACAACCACACACACAGACACAACCACACACACACACACACAACCACACACAACCCCACACACACACAGACACAACCACACACACACACACCACACACAACCCCCCACACAACCCCCCACACACACAACCCCACACACAACAACCCCCCACACAACCCCACACACACAACCCCCCACCACCCCCCCCCCCCCCACACACACACACACACACACACACACACGCATATGTAGGAAAACACACACTAACTCACATAAAAGCACCATCCAGTAACAATTAGTGAATCATGCGTAAGAAGGGGACGAAGTACTTGTGTGTGTGTCACTAAGGCAAGGCAAGTTTATTTCGATCGCCCCTTTCAACACAAGGCAATTCAAAGTGCTTTCCAAACATGAAAGATATTAAGAAAATGGCATTTTAAAAACAGTCATTAAAAAGCAAACGTCCTGTGTGTGTTCCAGGTAAGATCACGTCTCTGGACACCAGTCTGCTGCGGGCCTCCATGAAGCCGGGCTGGGAGGATCTGGTGCGGCGATGCATTCAGAGGTTCCACCTGCAGAACGACGGGGAGATGTCCTTCGCTAAGAGACACCAGCAGGAAGGTAACAACCACTCACCTTTAGGACTCCATTAGTGTGAACAATGATCTTTGCATATGGCTTATAAAGAATATTATCTGTACTTTAGGCAACATGTATATCTCAATATCATCATATCCTTTCTAAAACTGTATGTGGACATGGAAATCAGGCTCTTGAATGTTCTTGTGACTTAAGACGTTAAGTAAGGGAGGGTGTTCTTTTCCCCATAATGACCAAGTCGCTGCACATTATCCCGCTTATTACATGGCCACATTCTCAACAAAGTAACGATATGACTCCCACTATTAATTGAAATGCTTTTATGGATTTAGAAAATGATTTTATTGATTTAAAAAATAGTTGTATGTATTGATTTAAATTGACATGCATCCGCTAAGGAAAATAGTCCGTTGTTACCGTTTGAAAAACGTAGCAACGCAACGGCAGGAAGGCGGAGCTTTTTGATTACAGATTTGAAAACATCGTTGCTTGCTTTAAAATTAGCACAATTCATTATGTCAAACCTTGGGAAGTATCTAGATATCCCTGCCCTAATGCCAAAGGAACTGGCAACTGAATATGTGTCGCCGTTTGATGTCTATGTCTGGACGCTGCCCGTTACTTCTCGGCTGTTTGCTTGTCGCTCTTGTCTTGTCAGTTAGAAAAGCAAACTGCATGCAGATGTGAGCGTCCTTAACAACGGTCAATAAGTCCTTGACAGCGGTCTGTCTGTTCTGGATTAACAACGTGTCACGTGTTCTGAATTGACCAATCAGAATCGAGTATTCAACTAAGCCATGTAATAAAGCAGATTAATGTGTGTTTGTATACAATTACGGAGTTTGAAAAAGTCATACTAACCGATATTGAACTGATTTTTCTTGCAAAATGGGCAATTTTCAACTCAAATCGGAGCCTAAACTCTACAAAATAGCCAAAATTATCTACAAACGCATGAATCATTCTCAGTAAAAACTGTTTTCTATGTGCATCTCCTTATTGAATCAGGAAATGATGGCGTGAATGCAACGTTCATTCATGCTAAACTTGCACAAATAAACACGTTTACACTCAAATCAGAGCCTAAACTCTACAAAACAGGGTGAAGTTTGAGTATACACATGAATCGTTCTCAGTAAAACCTGTTTTGTGTGTCCTCAGTGCTGCGCCACGGCCAGGCCTTCAGTCCCATCTACCGCTTCTCTCTCTCTGACGGCACCATCGTGTCGGCGCACACTAAGAGCAAACTGGTGCGCTCTCCGGCCACCAACGAGCCGCAGCTCTACATGTCGCTGCACATCCTGCAGAGGTATGTCATGCACCTGTGGCATTGTGGGGGAAATCTGCAGCTGGAAGGAGGAGACATGCTGCATCCTGTCCATACCCTAAAGCACGGGGAGGTTATATGTGTGGATGCTATTAGTCTCAGGGAAAAGGGTATCAATCAAATCATGTAGATGGTATTTCACTCACATCAGAGCTTTAAGGGCTATTCAATTAAACACCTTCTGTTTTGATCATTGGTTTAAATCACATTTCAATTAAAAACCTCAGATTCCAGCTTTTTAAACGTGAGTATTATCTGGTGACTTTACTTTTCTACGTTGGACATTGTGTCTTTCATATTTGGGTTTGAATCATATTTGTGTCCGGACAAAAACACTTCAGAATATTTTTGATATTATATATAGTAGTAAAATCCTGCTTTTTTTTAAAATAAGACTATTGGCCAAAACCAAGTCGTATTTATCTTTTAATGACTTAGAAAGGGTTATCAACGCCTTTGTAACCTCGAGACTGGACTATTGTAACGCTCTGTATGTGGGTATGGACCAGGCCTCAATTAAACGCCTGCAGCTAGTCCAAAACGCTGCTGCACGTCTACTCACTGGCCACAAAAAGCGTGACCACATCACCCCTATTCTGGCCTCACTGCACTGGCTTCCAGTTCGGTTCAGAATTGATTTTAAAATCCTTTTATTTGTTTTTAAAGCCCTAAATGGGCTGGCTCCGGCCTATATAGCTGAACTCCTCCAGCGCTACACCCCAGCCAGAGCTTTAAGGTCTGCTGACCAGCTGCTGCTGGTAGTGCCCAAGACCAGGCTCAAAACCCGAGGGCACCGAGCCTTCGCAGCAGCTGGCCCTAGGCTCTGGAACACTCTGCCCCTCCATGTGAGGTCGGCCCAGACCCTAGGGGTTTTTAAATCAAAACTAAAAACACACTTCTTCTCTCTGGCCTTCTAGTTAGAGCGGAGCACGACTCCTGACTTTTCCTTGTGTTTTATTTTTGTTTTTTATATATATCTGTTGTAATTTATTGTCGTTTATTGTGATTGTAGTAATGTGTTTTTATTACATGTACAGCACTTTGGCTCGACCAAAAATCGCTTTTAAATGTGCTTTATAAATAAAACCTGATTTGATTTGATTTGATTTGATTTGATATATGAACGGTTACTTAACTTTTCTCCGTTTGATATTGTGTCCCCTTCAGGGAGCAGACGGTGTGTGGGATGGGTCAGGACATCGGTCAGACCCCAGGAATGGCCCCCAAACCCATGAACTCCTCCACGCCCTCCATGACCCCCCCGACCCCCGGCAGCCTGCCTGGTTCTGGGCCTCAGGGCCAGGAGACCACCATCAGCAGCAACAGCAGCACGCCTTTCTCCTCTCTTGGCCCTCGAGAGCCTCCTGCCATGGGGGGCCACATGCAGAGCTATCGTTTCGGGTGTCCCCCTCCTCACAATCACACTGGAGGCATGCAGCCACCTCAACAAGGGGCTAATTGGAGGATGAACAGTCCGTCTAGAGCGAGTCCGAGCCCAGCAGGAGGGCCACATCCTCCTCAACAGAACTCTATGTTGTCCCCGAGGCATCGAAACAGTCCTGGGGGGTCTGGGAGCCCTCGAGTAGCGGGTATTCACTCCCCCTCACCTGTAGGGATGTGTGGGGGCCCCCCAGGTAGCAGCGGCAATGCTAACAGCTACACTAGCAGCTCTCTTTCAGCACTTCAGGCCCTTAGTGAGTGTCATGGGGTGGGACACGGGGCCCCTCACACTCTGGGGTCTCCAGACAGAAAGATGGGTTCTCCAGTGGGGGTCTCACAGGGAGGGGGCTCTCATCTGATGTCCAAACTGGGAGGAGAGTCATACGGATCGAATATGGAGGGTCAGGAAACTAATATGGAGCCTAAAGAGGAGCGAGAAGGGGCCCCTGATGACTCCCTGAACCGTCTTCATGACAATAAGGGCCACACTAAGCTTCTACAGCTTCTCACGACTAAACCGGAGCCCCTGGAGACCCCTTTGTCCCCGGGAGGAGAGGGGAAAGAGGGCCGCGGGGGCCAAAACGCAGCGAACACTCACGCCTCCTCGCTAAAAGAGAAACACAAGATCCTGCACCAGCTCCTGCAGAACAGCACGTCCCCCGTGGACCTGGCTAAACTCACAGCCGAGGCAACGGGCAAAGAGCCGGGTCAGGAGCAGAACCAGGGGGCTGGGGGTCAGGGGTCAGGGTCCGATATGGGTCTGAAACAAGAGCCTCTGAGCCCCAAGAAGAAGGACAACGCCCTGCTGAGATACCTGCTGGACAAGGACGACACCGCAGGGAAGGAGAAGTTGAAGCTGGAGGCGGGGGAGGTGAAGCTGGAGGGAGGGAAACATCCCACGGTGAAGACGGAGAAACAAGACGCTGGATACGACCGTGCCGAGCAGGTGAGAGCAAAACAACAACAACAACAACATCAGGTGTGACGCACTTTCACTTAGTTGCCATCTTCACCACCCAAAACCTCTGATCTAGGTGCAACATTTCTTTCAGTTCCTGGGGTATAATCTAGATATCTTCAGGGTGTTGATGATGCCATTTTTACAACAGGCCACTGTCGAAAGTCAAGGGTTGCAAAGGCAGAGAAAACGCCACGAAAAAAATTGAACTAGGTGCAAAAAATCCTCAGAAAAGTATATATGTTTTTATAAATGTGTTCAAGCCAATATCCTTTCACATTTAGCCATCATTCTATTTGTATTCAGTGTATTTCCATATCCAATACATTGCTTATTTTATATGCATATATCAACTTTATGCACCTCAAACTATTGTTTAAAGTGGCGTGTTCATTTTGTAAAAGCCTTATTTTAATAGACACATGTTTCGTCCCAATACCTAAAGTAACTCCAGAGAGCTGTGTCAAAAACGGGAAATATCTTTTCAGATTGTTTGTCAATAATACAGACAAATGTAGGAATATCATCATCATTTTCTCCAATGTACTAGTCTAGTAAGGTCTGTTTAATGTGGTAAGGTCTAGATATCCTCAGGGTCTCAGTGCATATGAGAGAGGGTCTCCTTTTTTGTTTACTTCTTCATCCCCTCCTCTGAAACGATGAAATGAGTCGCGCTGCCCTCAAAACTGATTCAGTAACCTCCTTCTCTTCGTGGCTAAACTTTCCTCCTGTGCTGCTCCACTTCCTCTCCAATGATCTGGGTTAGGCAGCAGATGTTGGTGCTGCAGAGGTCACACACACACACACACACACACACACACACACACACACACACACACACACTAGCCCATTTACTTGTGTGTATTGTCAAACACCAGTATTAGGGCCGTGCAATTGATGTATTAGTTCCAATACCTCGCGATAATACTGACAGTTGTAACTTATCCTCAAAATGTCATCTTGTAAATACAAGAAACTCAAAGAAACTCCCCCTTCTTCTTACGCCTGGCACTAATAGTGTTTAATATGTATAAAATAAATGGCCTTCTTACACAAGATCTCCATGAGGATGTGGGACACACTTGATATACAGCTCAGTGTAATACTCTGTGTGTCTTATTCCCGTGTATAAACACATCTGGTGCGTTCACTGGCAGCAGGAGTTGGAGGGAAGCGATCCACCGGCTTCAAACAGCTGTGACATTTGGACGGTTTCCCCGTGGAGATCCAGACATTTGATCCTGGCTGCGTTTGGCACCGGGCTCGGGTCAGAACTGGCGCTGGAAGAGAGGAGGACGAGGGAGGAAGAGCGGGGGGAACTCTGTGTTGCTGCAAGTTTTCTGTAGCAGAGGTTCAGCCCGACGTAGATATAAATACGACTCTCTCTCCTCCACATTTCTATAGAAACATTTCCCAGACATGCTCTCTGCGTCTGCATGTATGTACTGTATGTGCTCGGTCACTTGGGTACACGAATAGAGGAGGAGGAGGAGGAAGAGGAGGAGGAAGAGGAGGAGGAGGAAGAGGAGGAGGAGGAAGAGGAGGAGGTGATTGGGTGGATAATAAGAGCTGCTGAACAAAGGAGTAGATCCTCCCCCCCAGGAGAGTAGAGAGAAAAATGATGAGCCATATGCTGCTGCATGTCCTCTCTGCTGCTGCCATGGCGATACTGTGTGTGTGTGTGTGTGTGTGTGTGTGTGTGTGTGTGTGTGTGTGTGTGTGTGTGTGTGTGTGTGTGTGTGTGTGTGTGTGTGTGTGTGTGTGTGTGTGTGTGTGTGTGTGTGTGTGTGTGTGGTGTGTGTGTGTGTGTGTGTGTGTGTGTGTGTGGTGTGTGTGTGTGTGTGTGTGTGTGTGTGTGTGTGTGTGTGGTGTGTGTGTGTGTGTGTGTGTGTGTGTGTGTGTGTGTGTGTGTGTGTGTGTGTGTGTGTGTGTGTGTGTGTGTGTGTGTGTGTGTGTGTGTGTGTGTGTGTGTGTGTGTGTGTGTGTCCCTCTTATTGGCTAGCACTTTAACACATTGTACGTGATAGGCTAAGGGGCGGGACATCTCTAAGCTGGTTGACCAATCAGAGCAGCTCTGGTTTCAGACAGAGGGTGAAAAGAGGTGCTGCACTAAATCCAAGCAACAAAGAAGGATCTAAAAAGTTATTTTCTAGATGAAATCGTTTAAAAACTCAGCGTGACCCTAATGATTCAGCGACTATGCAACAAATAGATCATTTCTACTTTCCAAGTACTCGTGTTTGCAGCTTCTCTCCCATCGTGTAATCCCACCTTCACATATTGCAGAACCTCAGTATTGCATCCTCTGAAGGTTGCTCCATCAGCTGTTTTTCAGGCTAGATTTTCTCCCACTTGTTTCTGTTGACGTTTCTGCACCGAGACGCCTTTGTTTTTCCGGCTGCAGTTCTGCTTTTCCCGCCCTCACTCTCACTTCCTGTTTCACTCTACAACGACATTTAGTTAATTAAATATACCAGATTTAAGTCGAGAAGACCCGACTGTGAGAAAGTCGAACGCTAGTCCTCTTTGTGTCACATTTTAGGTTTAATTAATGAATATTTTGTTTTTATTCTCAGTTTTTTAACATGACAAACATCCTGACATGTTAACAGATAAACAAACACAGAAAACCCGAAATCCCAGCAGATAAAATGTACATTAATTATCAAATCAAAATCAAATCAAATCAAGGTTTTATTTATAAAGCACATTTAAAAGCGATTTTTGGTCGAGCCAAAGTGCTGTACATGTAATAAAAACACATTACTACAATCACAATAAACGACAATAAATTACAACAGATATATATAAAAAAACAAAATTAAAATAAAAACACAGGGAAAAGTCAGGAGTCGTGCTCCGCTCTAACTAGAAGGCCAGAGAGAAGAAGTGTGTTTTTAGTGTTGATTGAAAAACCCCTAGGGTCTGGGCCGACCTCACATGGAGGGGCAGAGTGTTCCAGAGCCTAGGGCCAGCTGCTGCGAAGGCTCGGTGCCCTCTGGTTTTAAGCCTGGTCTTGGGCACTACCAGCAGCAGCTGGTCAGCAGACCTTAAAGCTCTGGCTGGGGTGTAGCGCTGGAGCAGTTCAGCTATATAGGCCGGAGCCAGCCCATTTAGTGCTTTAAAAACAAATAAAAGGATTTTAAAATCAATTCTGAACCGAACTGGAAGCCAGTGCAGTGAGGCCAGAATAGGGGTGATGTGGTCACGCTTTTTGTGGCCAGTCAGCAAACGTGCAGCAGCGTTTTGGACTAGCTGCAGGCGTTTAATTGAGGCCTGGTCCATACCCACATACAGAGCGTTGCAATAGTCCAGTCTTGAGGTAACAAAGGCGTTAATAACCCTTTCGAAGTCATTAAAAGATAAATACGACTTGGTTTTGGCCAATAGTCTTATTTTAAAAAAGCAGGATTTGACTACAGTGCTTTGACAAAAAATCCTTACATAAATGTCATCTGTGGAAGCCGTAATACTGTAAAAAGCACGACCAATCATCTGAGCCGGCCCAGCTAAAAGTAACTGGATGGCCTACCTGCCCTGTCAGCCTTCCATCTGTGCACAAACTTATCTCGTGCCCTCATTGGTCATGTGCGCGTTCGTGTGTGTTGGAGGAGGGGCTCTGTAAGGAAGTGGCAGATTTTCTCCGGTTGTGTATTTTCTAATTCTAGCGATCTCCAGCCGGTTTCTCCAAAATTACCTACCCTACCTTTAAGAAACGCAATTAAAGGGACCCTATGCTGCTCATTGTCATGCGTGTATCAGTATTTAGTTACTGTGACACACTTCCATGCTTCAATGCACAACAAGGATGTGAGCCTTTGCACACCTATAGAAGGAACGGGAAGACCCCAAAAAGCACAACAGGCCCTCTTTGAGAAAGCGAAACCTCCCACACAGAAACAAAGAGGGCTTTAATAACATTGCAGTTCAGCGTGAGTGTGTTCCCTCGCTGCAGAGAGGAGCCTCATCCTGTATTTAAAGACTGTGTAATGTACAGTATGTCCTCAGCTGAACTCCTGTAATCATCTGCAGATGGAGCATGCACTTCTGCAGTGTCCTCCCTAGAAAAACGCTCCTGAGATGCAGAGGAGAGGAACATGCATGCTCTGAACAGCAGACGGGAGCGTGCATCGATAGACATGTGACCCATTAGGAGGAGGAGGAAGGAGGAAGGAGCATTAACCCATCATCTAAAAGCTTCATGCAGAACATATCAACCAGACATAAACGTTAGAATGAACCTCCCTCTGATAAATATCCACCAAGAGGAAATCAACAAAACTCAAATGCAAGCAGATCAAATGTTCATTAGTTACAGCAGGGGAGTTTCTCTTCATATCTTAAACTTTTGACATTATTTTTTTAATAAAACTCCACTGTCATTATCTATAATCCACAAAAACAATATTCTTTGATTGAAATCTGAAGCATAATCACGAATAATTGTTTCTTTTAATTAGGAAACGCACCTAAAGGGACCCTATGCTGCTCGTATATTAGTATGGAGTGCCTCACACTCACTGTAAATATCTATAATCCACATAAACTGAGAGCGTGCATTGAAAGAAATGCGAGCCATTAGGGGTAAGAGCATCCAGAGAATAGGAAGTGGGAGGAGAGAAGGAGGAGGAGAGAGCATTACATCATTCCTGACCTCATTAGGGCTTTTCTCTCTTTCCTCCCCCCTCTCACCCGGTTTCTGCACCTCCCCCTTCTTACAGTCCAGCTCACTGTATGCAGCCCACCTTCAGATTAAACCCCTCTCATCAGGAGCCTTTTTGGACTTGTTATCTAAAGTAGCAGAGACGTGTAATAATGTGTGAGCAGAGAGGCTGCTGTGCTGCTGCTGTACAGTAAGTCACGAGCAGGCGGAGTGTGTGAGAAATCAGTGTGTGTGTGAGATCAGTGTGTGTGTGCTACTCTCTAGTGGTCGCATGCAGACGGTGCAACTTATTTACCCTTAAAGTCCCTTCGGTGTGTGAAGCAACACGATCTCCTCTGTGGACGTCACCACTACCTGCATCTGTTCTCCTTTTATCAAGACTCAGACTCGACCTGAACTACGATTATTTAACTGATTGATTAGTTATCCTTTGGTTTATCAAATGGCATGAAATAGAGAAAAATGCTCATCCTATTTCGTCAAATTCCAAAGTGATGTCTTGATGCTTTTTCTGGCAGTGCAAATATCTGAAATATATCAATTATAGTTACAAATTAAGTTATGAAATACAACTTGTAATTAATACCAGCAACCACGAAGGAACTAAGAGTTGCACCTCTCATAACATTTTTTAGTCTATAAATAGTCATACAAATTAAAAAGTGTCCATCCCAGTTACTCAAAGTTTAAACGGATGTCTTTAAATGTCATCTTTTGTCCAAAACCCAAATAAATTCACTTAAATATGATGTAAAATAGAGAAATGCATCTAATCTCCAGATCGTTTCCTGACATGTAAAATGACTTAAATGATTAATTGGGTATCAAATCATTTATTGTTTCCTTGGTGATCAACTAGCTATTGCCGCTCAAGTATCTTTCATCGATTACACAATTATCAAAATAGTTGTTAATAGGCGTCTTTGTTATCTTGTCCACGTCGTGTGTGTGATGGAGAACAAGAGGAATAAAGAGGTCCCAGGCCAGTGTCGTAAAATAAAACACATTTTCCAAGAGATTGATCTTTTATAGTCGTGATTCTTCAGTATCTTCAGCGTGAGAGCCTCGTCTTGTTTCTGATGGTTGTTTGAAACTAAAGAGGAATGGGTCTGATGGTCCAGACGTGTGTGAAGGGGCTCCATGTTCCTCTCTAAACGCGCCTCATCATCACATTTATATAGCTTAAAATCACAAAGGGTCCATCCTAGGTGGGTCCATCCTAGGTGGGTCCATCCTAGGTGGGTCCATCCTAGGTGGCTTCAGAGTGTGTACCCTCACTGTGACGAGGACACACTGAGATGAAGTGAAGAGTGGTCTAGATTTGATCAAAGTGGTCCATTTCATCCTGGAGTTACTGATCCAGATGGAGCTCTCTCTCTCTCTCTCTCTCTCTCTCTCTCTCTCTCTCGCTCTCTCTCTCTCTCTCTCTCGCTCTCTCGCTCTCTCTCTCTCGTTTCCTCACTCTCTCTCTCTCGTTTCCTCACTCTCTCTCTCTCGTTTCCTCACTCTCTCTCTCTTGTTTCCTCACTCTCTCTCTCTGTTTCCTCCCCAGTCTTCAGAGTTGGACGACATCCTGAACGACCTTCAGAGCGCCGGGCCTCCTCTCTTCACAGACCAGCGGCCCGTCTCTCAGACCAGTCCGATGGACAAGCAGAACATCATCAACGACATCCTGCAGATGTCCGACGGCGGCGCCGCCCTCCAGCAGCACCGGAGCATCGGCATGAACCCCAGTGAGTCTACAAATCCAGAAAAAACACACATTTTGTCAAAAGAAATTCACATTTTAACCCATTTCATTTCCAAAATCGCACAAAAATTATAAAAACAGATTTTGAAAATGATATTATTTGTACTCTGGGTAACACACATTTTAACCCATTTCTTTGCGTGCAGATTTCACCGGGGTGCGTCCAGTTCAACCGGGTCGGGGTCTGCCTGTGAGGAGTGTGTCTCTGGATATGAACGTGTCCCCCCAGCAGGGATCACTTCAGTATCCAATCAGAGCCACCAGCCCATACACTCTCATGCAACAACAACAACAACAGCAGCAGCAGCAGCAGCAGCACAGCATGATGGGTAATCAGGCTGGGATGGTCAATGCAGGTGAGTGCAAACCATGATGCTCTGATTTATAGTTCTTATACCTTGTAATAATACTGAATAGTTGTCACTTATCCTCGAAACATGACAAACTTGGTATAAAGCACAAATTATATTCATATATTATGTCAAAATGTTACTATTTTGTTAAATAATTACACATCCCTCTCTCTCCCTGCAGGACTGATGGCCCCCGGGGGTCCACGTCCCAGCATGCATCATCAGCAGCAGGAGGGTTGGGGGGGGTCCTCAGCCTCGGCCCCCCCTCTCGGAGCATCAGGTCCCGCTCAGCAGGGGGCCCTTCAGGCCAGGATGGGGCCCAACGGAGCCCCTCTGAGGCCCAACAGCCAGCCGGGGCCACGGCAGATGCTCCAGGGCCCCATGATGCCCAATGGTGAGAGACATGGGAACACATGTGATGTAGAGAGATTACTAACCCTAACGTCTCAGGTCTCTTGAGAAATAACTTTCTAGACTCACCTTTACTGTGTTTTTAGCCAAAGTCCATATAACACTAGGACAATATGCACCCGAAACAATGGGTTTTAACCTTTTTTCTGATTTATTTTTAATTTTGAAAGACAGTTAAAGGATGTAGCATGCTGACGTATTCAATCAGGGTATTTAAACCCTTTACTCGCTCAGTTATACACAAATATAGATAGGAAGACCCTAACTCACCCATATGATATTATATCAATGCTGCTAAGTGTTGAATGATGCCTCCTAGTGGCTAAGCATGGTATTTCTTTATAATCTAAATTAAATTCAGTGTATCAACTTGTTCAGTTTTTCATGTTTTCATTTCATATTATTATAAAGTGTCTTTGAGTACTCAGAAAATAGTGCTTTTTTATTCATTTATTTCATTTACCTCCCTGGCGCTTTGTGTTGGCCTCTGTGGTTTCAAGAGGATATTTAACATCCTCTTAAAGCCAGAGTGTTCCCTTCATGATGGTTAATGAACTCTCTTTCTGCTCTTACAGCCCAGTCTGATATGGACATTGGGATGGTCTCTCATCACTTCTCCCAGCAGCAGCAGCAGCAGGCCCCCCCCAACACCACGGCCCCCTGGCCCGACAGCATGATGCCCATCGACCAGACCGCCTTCGTTAACCAGGCCAGGTGAGAAACTGGGAGAAAACTACCATTAAAAGTTATTAATAATGCCAGAAAATGTTACTAAGCTCAGGACTAAAGGTCAGTATCTATCTCGCAAAGCCAGCCCACATTTTAGATATTACGTCATATCGGACGCAAATCTGTATCAGCTCAGTTGTTCCCCCGTTTTTAGAGATGTGGGCACGGAGGAAAAGAGAGAGGGTTTTATATCCTGACACTTTGAGAGTCTCCTGACACACCGGGGACACACCGGGGACACACCGGGGACACACCGGGGACACACCGGGGACACACCGGGGGGGGGACACCAGGGACACACCGGGGACACACCGGGGACACACCGGGGGGGGGACACCAGGGACACACCAGGGACACACCGGGGGGGACACACCGGGGACACACCGGGGGGGACACACCGGGGACACACCGGGGGGGACACACCGGGGACACACCGGGGGGGACACACCGGGGACACACCGAGGACACACCGGGGACACACCGGGGACACACCGGGGGGGACACACCGGGGACACACCGGGGGGGACACACCGGGGACACACCGGGGGGGACACACCGGGGACACACCGGGGGGGACACACCGGGGACACACCGGGGGGGGACACACCGGGGGGGGACACACCGGGGGGGGACACACCGGGGGGGGGGGGACACACCGGGGGGGGACACACCGGGGGGGGACACACCGGGGGGGGACACACCGGGGGGGGACACACCGGGGGGGGACACACCGGGGACACACCGGGGACACACCGGGGACACACCGGGGGGGACACCGGGGACACACCGAGGACACACCGGGGGGACACCGGGGGGGGACACCGGGGACACACCGAGGACACATTGATGTAGACAAGACATCGGAAAGTGCATTTTGCATACCGTACGATAATACTTTAATGGTCAGATGAAGTCTGAAATGCTCTTGCATCACAGCAGCTCCATGTGTAACATCAACACATGAGAAACAAACAACAAACATTCATTCATATGTTTATAATGTAGTTTTTGGGAGAAGGGGTGGGATTAAATAAGTGTAACTTCTTCCCTCCTCTTTTCGGATGTATAATTAGGTAGATCATTTGTTTATGTATAATTTGTAAGTCAATAATATTTTTGTTTATCAATTTTATACGGCTTAAGTTTGTACAGTATAATAAATCTCATGTTTCATTTTCATTATTATTTTTTTGAATTATTGTTTTACACATTCGAAATAAATCCAATCAAATGTAACGTAACAGCAGGATCAGTGAGAGCTGCTCAAAGAGCCTTCAGCGTGCATCTGATCTGGAGCTCTGTGTTTACTGAGAGGACAGACTGGAGCACAGAGGATGCTTCAGGCTGACTGGAGCACAGAGGATGCTTCATTCTGACTGGAGCACAGAGGATGCTTCATTCTGACTGGAGCACAGAGGATGCTTCAGGCTGACTGGAGCACAGAGGATGCTTCATTCTGACTGGAGCACAGAGGATGCTTCAGGCTGACTGGAGCACAGAGGATGCTTCAGGCTGACTTTAGTGAGTCTCCATTAGATGGTAGCAGTTCATACTCTCTGATCAGAACATGCTTTGGGTCCCAGATGTTGGTGGACAGCCTCTCAGGTTATTATGGTCTGCTGAGTCAGAAAGTCTCTGACTCAGCAGACCATAATAACCTGACAGGCTGGACCAACCATCTTTGAGCAGATTCTTTATCGATTAAATATCGGCGAAAACGTTTACATCCAATCGTCTGCAGACATTTGGTGATTTTGTGCACATGTGGAGACACGTCTGTAATCTGCAGAGCAAAGCTTTCACACACACATACACACACACACACTCACACTCACACGCACGCACACACTCACACAGACACACACACACCACACACACACACACACACACTCACACACACACACACACACACACTCACATACACACACACACAGACACACACACTCACAGACACACACACACACACTCACATACACACACACACACAGACACACACGCACGCACGCACGCGTACGCACACGCACACATACGCACAGACACACAGACTCACATACACTCACACACACACACACACACACACACACACACACACACACACACACACACACACACACACACACACACATGAAGTCTCTGACAGGATTGACCAACAACAGGTGGAGCATTTTTGATTTTAAAGCTTTTATCCCAGACACAGTTTAAGAGTATTTTAATGGTTTAAATAACGTCCTCTTCCCCCTCTGTTAGCAGGCCGGTGCACGCGGCCCCCCAGGAGGACCTGCTGTTGGGGGGTGGGGGCCACAGCTCTGGGGAGGGGGTCCCTGTGGACGAGGGGGTCCTCATGTCTCAGCTCTACACCGCCCTCAAAGACTTCGATGGGCTGGAGGAGATCGACCGAGCGCTGGGGATCCCGTCTCTGGTAGAACAAGTGAGATTTCATTCATCTGGGGGAGTGGTTTCAGAAACTACGGAAGCCCTCGAGGACTAAATTTAAGTGAAAAACTCAAATTATTTAGATTATAAAGCAATAATGTGGTGTAATATCTTTAATAATACTAATACACCACTATATATATTGCTATATACAGATTTTAAATATGTATAAAGTGTACACATTTGTACATTATCTACATATTTTTGTATAAATATGTCACAAAACTCAGCTTTCGCCGGGATGAATAAAGAATAACTTATTATTATTACATGTATATTTTAATTTATTATTATTATTATAACTCTATATATGTAACCCATGACTCTCGGGGCGTCTGTAATATATTTGTGTACCTCATGTTCTCCAGAACCAGTCCCTGGAGCAGGATCAGTTCCAGCAGGACTCCATGCTGATGGACCAGAAGCCCCCCATGTACTCCCAGCAGTTTGCAGCCCCTCCCTCTCACCTCTCTCAGAGGGGGGGGTACCCCCTGCAGGACCAGGGCTTCCACCCCCTGGGGGGTCCCATGGGCCCTCGCCCCGGGTACCCCATGATGAGGATGCAGGCCAGACCGGGACTCAGGCCTGGGGGGGGCGTTCCAAACCAGCCAAACGCTCTGAGGCTGCAGCTGCAACACCGGCTGCAGTCCCAGCAGGTACGAGGTCGTGCATTTAGTTATTGTTTTCCAAATCGTGCAGTCATGTTTGTTTTGTCGGCTTTCTTTCATTTAGTCTCAGTTTGATCAGAATCATGTTTATCACCAGGTGGGTGGACACGGACGAGGGATTTAACTTGGTGTCGTGGTGCATACATAAAACTAAAACTAAAATTCACAACACAGATAGAGAACTATTTTAAGAAAACTATAATAACATTAAGAAATATAGTAGAATATTGCAGTATTTACATAGAAATAGAATGGAATAAAATAGTTGTTTTATTTTTAAAGTTTTAGTCAATTAAAAGTCTAGGCATTTTAGCTTTGTCTTGCTCAAATTAAACCATTTTATTTTAAGTGAATGAAAACCGTTTAGTCATCAGATTATATTCAATATTTCCGGTTGTTGTCAAAGTTAACTTCAGTAACGCGTAACTTTTCTCATCAACAATACTGTGTGTTAATATCCTCACAGTTATTGTTTTCCCCCCCCTGCAGGAAGTGATCATGCATTTAGTTATTAGGTCTTTTTACAAATGGTGCAGCCTTAGTAATGCTAGTTGTCAGATTTCTTACGTTTCGTCTCAATTTTTGGTTGTTTTGTTGTTGTTCAAGTTTGAGTCGATTAAAGGTCGAGGCATTTTATCTTTGTCTTGCTCAAATTAAACCATTTCATTTATTTTAAGTGAATGAAAACCGTTTTAGTCATCAGATTATATTCAATATTTCCGGTTGTTGTCATAGTTAACTTCAGTAACGCGTTACTCCTGTAGTTCTCATACAACTTTCTTTGAACAATTTATAATATTTAATCTCCTCTTATTTTAGTTTTTAAACTACATATAAGTATTTTCTCATCAACAATACTGCACGTTAATAACGTCACAGTTATTGTTCCCTGACGCAGGTGCCCTATCCGTATCGTCTCGTTCAAGTCATAGAAAAACACTTGCAGACAAATGTATTTAGTCAGAGTTTTTGTTTAAGGACTACCGTCATGTAGGATTCCTCTTGCGTTGATAGTTTCATATCTAAGCAGTATGACCTCTCCCTGACCTCTCCCTGACCTCTCCCTGACCTCCCTGACCTCTCCCTCTCTCTCCTCCTCTCCTGCAGAACCGTCAGCCGATGATGGCTCAGATGAGCGGCGTATCTAATGTGAACCTTCCTCTCAGAGCCAGCAATCCCAACCAGGTAACTGCTCACCTGTCTGATAAACGGAGGGGTCCTTCATGTGGAGAAACGTCTTCTTCCTAAGATAGAGAAAAGTGAGACGCTGAATCAGCCGGAAAGTGCTTCGTCACAGAGAGGCACGGACGTCTTAATGAAGCTTTCATGGGATCTAAATATGTATTTTCTAATAGTTTCTTGTAGTGCAGCTCGACTAAACTTCATAATGCAACCCCCTCTTACTGCACCTGTTGCACACTCTGACCCATGCTCCTCCTCTTCCTCCTGCAGGGCATATTATTTATTAATAATAATAATGCATTTTATTTATAGAGCGCTTTTCTAGAAACTCAAAGACACTTTACAGTCAAACAAATCATAAAAACATCATTCAAACAACACACTTAAAGGGGACCTATCATGCAAAATGCACTTTTGTACGTCTTTTCTACATGAATATGTGTCCCCGGTGTTCCAGGGAACTCACCAAGTGTCAGAAAACACAACCCTCTCTATTTTCCTCCATACCCAAATCTCTAAAAAAGGGGCTGCAACGGATCTGATAAAAACTGATCCAGATTTGAACACTGTCCTGACGTCAGGACGGTGGAGCTACGGCTATTGGGCCAACTCCACCAATCAGGAGGAGACAGCCACGGCCATTGCCGTTCGAAAGCGCTGGAGACGCTGTAGTACATATGCCAGGCCTGTAGGTGGTGCTGTTCTCACTGAATCTGCCCTTGCTAAAACAGGGATAAAAAATGTCAAATTGAGCAAAATGAGGCATGGCTAAAATGCATGATCTGTTTGGTATTTTGAAAAAAAAAAAGTATAAATATGCCTTATATAGGTATGGTCCTACACTATATTATTATAATATAGCATGATAGGTCCACTTTAAAGTATATAAAACACAACATTAATGACAGATAAAAAGCAGTTGTGATTTGAACATGGTGTGTCAGGGCCTTTAGAGTGCAATGCCCTCTAAAGGCCCTGACCTTTATATATACAGTCTAAGGCCCTGACACACCAGGCCGAAATCGCCCGTTTTCGTTAGTCGGACGACGAAGCGTGCCCTGTCGCCCAAACTCAATTTGGTGTGTCCCGCACCGTCGGCCGTGACACGCCTTATTTGGCCTTTCATGGCCGACGCACGGCCGATTCAACACGTTGAACATGTTGAATCGGCCGTGCGTCGGCCACAGGCAGTCGGACAAAGAAATGACTCTGATTGGCTGTTCAGCTAGCGAATCAGTGCATGAGAAGCGAAACGGTTGCTTGAGAATGTCTTCCACAAGCAACACTCCAATGGCTGATAGCTCCAGTACCGCACGAAACAGTTCGTACGTGCTCGGCTGAAGTCTTTGCGGTGTGTTCCAGTGCGACACATGGCCAAGACGCAGGAGAACACGGCGACGCAACAGTCGGCGTCGGCGAGTTCTCTGGTGACGGCCTGGTGTGTCAGGGCCTTCACTGCACCTCTTGTAAACCTGTATTCATATATGATGCATATTCGATTAGTCATGAGGTTCAGCTTTACACATTTCCATTCCATTATTTCGCCTCATGACGTTGTATTCCCTCCTCCATTGATTGATTGATTGATTGATTGATTGATCTCTCCTTCAGGGCACCATCAACGCCCAGATGTTGGCCCAGCGTCAGCGGGAGTTGCTAAGTAACCACCTGCGCCAGCGGCAGCAGCAGCAGCAGAGGAGCCTGGCCATGAGGGGCCTCTCTCTGCCCCCCAGCATGAACAACAACAACCCTCGAGGGCCACATGCGGCCCCCCCGCAGTTCCCCTACCCTCCCAGCTACGGTACCAGTACAGGCCTGGCCTCCCCCCCTCTCTCCCCAAACCTCCCCCCCAACCCTCAGCTGCACATGCATGGCTCCTCCTCTTCCTCTACCTCCAATTCCTCTTCCTCCACCTCCACATCCTCCTCCTCCCAGATGATGATGGGACAGTATGGGGCCGTACTCAGCCCCCAAATGCAGCACAGTGCCTTTCAGTTTCCCAACTCAGGTACTGAAGACCCCCCTCCCAAATCCTAGCCTGCCACTTTCTCCATTCTCCACCCTGCTAGTGTGTGTGTGTGTTTGTGTTTGGGTAGATATCAGGAAGTATCGGTTTTATAACGTCAGGAAGTATCCGTTTTATAACGTCATGATTATCAGGTTAATGCGCCGGCGCTCCACATGACAGGGCCTGAGACTTAAGGGTCGTGTGAGAACACAGAAACTAAAGAAATGTGAGAATGAAATCACAAATGCCTGAATAAAGTCTCAATAGAGGTGGAGCACAGGACTCCAGACGCACTAATGAAAGCTACTCCTGCAGGAAGTGAACATATATTAATAACATCAATAGTAGGAATAGAATAACAGAAGTGCATCAGTGTTAACGTGTTTCATACAAACATGCAGCCAGAAGTTCAAATAGCAACATTTAAGATTTTTAAAACATTGATTAAAAAGTTAATTAATTTAGAAAGCAATGTAGTGAATCTTCTTCTTCATTGAAAACTAAGTCGGTTTAAGAAGAAGTTCTGATTACAAATAACCTATTTGTAATGGTTTTAACAGATTATATGTGAAAGTGCATTCAGTACTTGCATATCAGCGTATTTCACTTTTGAACTAATAACATGTTTAAAGGTCACAGACTCACATATAGATTATGTGTAGCCAGATTATCAATTCAAGTGTTTCTGAATGTCTTTAAACTCCAAAATGGAGTCCTGTGAGCACGCTGTTTCTCCAGCAGAGGGCGCCAGCAGCTCAATAATGAATCTTAACGAGGATGGAACTGACTCACACACAGACATGTTCGATCATCCCTCTCTCAATAATCTGACTGTTTTCATATGAATCCCTCCTGAACTCCCTTTCCTTACTCCCTTGACTCCTGCTTCCTTTCCCTCCTAAACTCCCTTTCCTTACTCCCTTACCTCCTGCTTCCTTTCCCTCCTAAACTCCCTTTCCTTACTCCCTTGACTCCTGCTTCCCTCCTCTAAACTCCCTTTCCTTACTCCCTTGACTCCTGCTTCCTTTCCCTCCTGAACTCCCTTTCCTTACTCCCTTACCTCCTGCTTCCTTTCCCTCCTAAACTCCCTTTCCTTACTCCCTTGACTCCTGCTTCCTTTCCCTCCTGAACTCCCTTTCCTTACTCCCTTGACTCCTGCTTCCCTCCTCTAAACTCCCTTTCCGTACTCCCTTACCTCCTGCTTCCTTTCCCTCCTGAACTCCCTTTCCTTACTCCCTTCACTCCTGCTTCCCTCCTCTAAACTCCCTTTTCCTTACTCCCTTGACTCCTGCTTCCCTCCTCTAAACTCCCTTTCCTTACTCCCTTGACTCCTGCTTCCTTTCTCTCCTGGACTCCCTTTCCTTACTCCCTTACCTCCTGCTTCCTTGCCTGCTTTCATGCATGTATCTCACTCATCATAGTGTCACATTGACTCCCTTCAGTGAAGTCTAAATATCTAAACAACCCCCCTCCCTCCTCTCAGGTATGAGCCAGCAGGCAGACGGGGGGTTTGTGAGCCCCGGGGCCCCTCAGAGCCCTCTGCTGTCCCCCCGCATGGCCCACACACAATCCCCCATGATGCAACAGGGCCAGGGCAACGCTGGCTTCCAGGCCCCCCCCCGACATGAACGGCTGGCCGCAGGGCAACATGGGAGGCAACAGGTGAACAGAATACTGTCGTTTTAGTTCATTTTCCATGCAGAAATGTCAGAAAATGCAGTTTCCAAACGTGGAGATTTCCTGCTTTTCTGTGTTTTATATCGTGTCAAATTGACTATTTTAGGACATTTAAATGAATCTGATGAACTGGGATGGAGATTTTTCACTATTTTCTGACTTTGCACACTTCAAACTATTAATCAACATAGGTTTTAGCAGATTAATCATTCATTCATCTTTTGATGCAGCCTTATGTCAGCAGCCAGAGTTAAATACCTCCTGTATAAGAAACCCTCCAAACTATTTCCTCTGTGCTCCTAAAGCATCGTTTCCCCTCCGTTATTAAACCCTTTCTCTCCCCTCTCTCTCTCCCCCCTCTCTTTCTCCCCCCTCTACCCCCTCCTCTCTCCTCTCTCCCCCCTCTCCCCCCCCAGTATGTTCCCACAGCAGCAGGCCTCGCCCCAGTTCTCCCAGCAGAGCAGCAGCAACATGTACAACGGAGGAAACGCCATGAACCTCAACCCCGTGAACAACATGGCCGCCGGCAGCATGGGGCAGATGTCCGGCCAGATGAGCGTCACCTCCATGGCCTCGGGTCCTTCGCCGGGGCTGCCCTCCATGGGGCCTGAGCAGGTAAACACATATTAACACTCTTAAAGAGGGGGAACTTAAGAGGATTTTAGAGCCAGAAATACCCGAAATTTCACTTAAAAAAATCACATTTTCAAGCATTATGAAAAAGTATTTTGGTGAGACTTAAACAGGTGTTCCTGCAATGGTTAATTTGAGATATTAGGCTATTTAGCTTCCATAACATGTCTTTATTCAGACTATTGGAAAGAAATCAAACAATTATCATGCAACATATCATAAATTGGTTAATTTCTGTCCGTATATTTCTCTTAAATCGACCCAAGGTTAGCGTACATAATGCTTTCTTTGCATTTTTAAACATGACATTTAAGAAAACCTGTCATTTGACTCTTGGGAAGTTTAATAGTGATATATATTCGTTATTTATTGTACTTTACTAGTCCAGGACACTAAAGACAAGAACATGTTTTTAATGCACTAGTCAATTCTGAGAGTTTGAGCTGTCTTTAGTTCATAAATTCACCAAAAGTCACTACATAATGCCTCATTAGCATATCTAAACATAACGTGTCAGGACACTTGTAATGTTAAAAGTCACTGTCTTAAGATCAGTATTGTAGTGGGGAAGTTTAATGTTGATATCTGTTAGTTAAAATATTTCCCCTATTCACATGCAGTGTTTCTCATTAGAGGACTTTAGGGTCACTTTGAGGAGTTTAAACCTCACATCTGAACAAAATAGACCCTTAAACAGCGACCTATTAAGACTATTAATGAGGGGGAAATTAAGAGGGTTTTAGAGCAAGAAATACCCAAAATGTTACTTTAAAATCCACATTTTCAAGCATTGTTAGGGTGAGACTTAAACAGGTGTTCCTACATAACGCCTCATTAGCATATCTAAACATAACGTGTCAGAACACTTGTAATGTAAAAAGTAACTGTCTTAAGATCAGTATTGTAGTGGGGAAGTTTCATGGTGATATCTGTTAGTTAAAATATGTCCCCTATTCACATGTAGTGTTTCTCATTAGAGGACTTTAGGGTCACTTTGAGGAGTTTAAGACAAACAAAATAGACCCTTAAACGGTGACCAGGGGACCCAGAAACACTAAAAGCTCCTCCTTATTTCCGTGTTTGTGTTATTGTAAGACTCTTTAAGTGTTTGGGCTTATTGAATCGCCGCACTCGTGAATAATTTACTCGTTAGTTTACGTAACTTCTGATGAACTTAGAATGATGTAATTATCAGCGTGCACTTTAGAGCCATTTAGCCCAGACGTTACCGAATGATGTGCAAACACTCTTCTGTCTGGACTCAGAACTGCACCATGTGTCTCAAACCTGCACCATGTGTCTCAAACCTGCACCATGTGTCTCAAACCTGCACCATGTGTCTCAAACCTGCACCATGTGTCTCAAACCTGCACCATGTGTCTCAAACCTGCACTCCTATGGACGAGAAACAACAGATAACAAGTCAGACTTCTAATTAAACATATCAGATATATTCCCTTCTCCCTCTGAGGTGATTATTTAATGTTTGAACCTCTCCTGTTGTTGTGCGATGCTGTTGCTCGTGATGCTTTTAAGCCCAATAAAGCGGCATGAATATTTAACCTGCTGCAGTTTGATCGTCTGCACTTCAGACTCTTGTAACACGCCAGTATATCTGTCACTGGATTTATCCTCCTTCCACGATTATAGGAATATATTGGCACTTAGATTATTTCAATTATTTACCGTTCGCCCATTAGCGAGGTCTTTTGGTGATTTACTCGCTCGTTCCAGGAGGCTTTCTGATTGTTTATGGGCTTTTACACAAGTTCAAGTTCTGCCAGTTCAAGTGTGGTGTTGCTTTGTGTATATTAAAGGGGAAATTAACCCTTAAAATGATCATTCTCATATCACTTACTCGCCCAATTTTACCTTATATTCATCGTTTTTCTGGTGGTGAACACAGAATCAAAAAGCTGAGAAGTGTCTCATGAATTGAAGTGAATATTGGTCATTTTTAAGAACTGAAAAACTATTTTAAACCATTTTATTTATATAGTTTGTGGCTCAGAAGGAAGTCCAGGATATCATTGGTGTATTAATGTGACATATTGTAAAGCCCTTTATCAAGTACGGTGGAAAGGTGCTGCATACATGTAACGGACCGTCCACACAGCAGCGTTAAAAAAATCTTGGAGGTGGGCGTATCTGAAGCTTGGGGATTTTTTGCGAGCAACGCGACCAACAACCAATCACATGAATCTCCCGCCCCCGACATACGAAGCAAAAAAGCCCGAAGTAAACTGGATATAAACTCCCCAAACAGGCGAAAACCTACCACTGTCTCTGCCACCTCCCTCCATGCCTGGCTCCTCAGGTTTATATCCCGGTAGGTAAATAGGGACTGGTCATAAAGCACCGGGTGATTCCCTACCGCTAATTTCTCCTCCATGTTTTGGAATATGAGGAAATGACCTGCGGTATGTCTCTCCCAGCTTACACGCGGTTTGATTGGCTAGCGCTTGAACGGTCAGATTTGCATAAACGGGATTTGATTGGCTGACGCTTCCACCTCAGCTTCAAAAGTTGAACATTGCTCAACTTTGAATCCTGAAAATCCTGAAAATCTCCGCTCTGCTTCCCACAATGCAGTTCGGCGAAAAGTGAGGCAAAGTGACGTCACCCCATTCAAAGTGAATGGGCAGAAGCGTTCCAAGATTTTTTTTTAACGCTGCTGTGTGGACATTTCCATTTCTGATTCTTCGCCTACCGTGGAAATTCGAGAAATCACAGAAGAGTTTTTGAAATGGAAATGACTAGAGATCACTAGATTTACCCGCGGTTTATCAAATAAAGATCCAAAGGTGGCTAATGTTGGGCTATAAAGGAACTACAGCACGGTCACATGACTTCACGTCACCACCGCTAAGCTAAAGGTGGCTAATGTTGGGCTATAAAGGAACTACAGCACGGTCACATGACTTCACACCACCACCGCTAAGCTAAAGGTGGCTAATGTTGGGCTATAAAGGAACTACAGCACGGTCACATGACTTCACGTCACCACCGCTAAGCTAAAGGTGGCTAATGTTGGGCTATAAAGGAACTACAGCACGGTCACATGACTTCACGTCACCACCGCTAAGCTAAAGGTGGCTAATGTTGGGCTATAAAGGAACTACAGCACGGTCACATGACTTTAGGACTCATTCCTGCACCTCTCTAATATTATTTACCTCTGTTTTTGATTACTAAGATAAAGCCTAACTTCCATGTTGATTTCATGACTGTTTTTTATTTATTAGCATGCTAACGTGTGTGTCGTTTCTCTGCAGAAATACTGTTGACCCTCATGGAGTCGTCACCTGAACTTCAGCTGGAGAGAGGAGCGTCGGCCCTTTAAAGAAATTGTACAAACATGTAACCAACGACCCCCGCCTCCCCCCTTTCTACCCCTGCTTTTTGGGGGGGGGAGACCCCGGAAAGTGATGGTGGAGGAGAGCAAGCATTCACCATAGTGTGACTTCCTGTTGGGGGGGGGGGGGGCACTGACCCTGGGGGTGTTTGGGATCTTCTTCTGATGAATGTATTCCTCTCAGTGGACAGCGGCCATTTACAATCTCATCTCAAAATGACGTACACTGATTTTCGTCCGGCCGGAAACAGAGACTCCCGCCGGGTTTTGCCTTTTTTTGTTGTTATTTTATTCTGATTATTTTAGTTGTCGTGAAGATGTAGAATGAAGATCTTTGAAAACACACTGCGGAAAATGGTTTGAGTGTATGATTAGACTAATTTAGTCAAGAGGTTTATATAGTGTATTAAATTAAGTTTTATTTTTCTGTATAGATTTTAATTATTGTAGATGATTCTTTATCCAAGTAGCAACGAGAGAGACGGAGATTTCTAAAAAGTGTGAAAGAGGCACTTTTGTTTTTTTATAATTTTAACAGTAACACTCTTCTATTAACCTGAATCTGGATTATTCTTTGGTCCTGTAGTTTCAGAAGAAGATATGGTTTTAAAAATGAATCACAGAGATTGTACATACCAATAAGTAAGACGTTTTCTTTCCTATTTATTTCACCGCGTAGGGTTTGTTTCCCCGTCTGATCACGACTTTCTCGTGTGATGGTACGATGCAGACGGGGGGGGGGGGGTGTGTACGGGGGTGTGCTGTGTATACAGTGTACAGATTATCGCTTGCTTCTCTGCCTTTAGCATAGAAACACCACAAAAAAAAACTCAACACAGCCATACACAAAAAAAAGTGTGCTTTCTATGTCGTCTGGTCCTACGAGCTGCTCGGTGCAAACTGTTCCGGTGTGATGTAAACAAGCAATAACCTTTCTTTTTGTAATTTTTGTACAGTTTCCTGACTTAAAAAGGACACGTTTTTTGCTCCACGTTTGGATGCAGTATTACATTTTTTTATTGCAGTTTGTACCAGGAGAGTCTCCATCCACACGCAGCGATGTTAGATTATGCAGCAGAGGTCAGAGGTCACGCTTCACCCTGCTCTGACACACACTTAGCCATATTTATGACCTCAGGCAGTTATTAAACGACTCGCTGCTCTTTCTGGGGAGTTCAGTGTGATCCGAGTCATCCTCTCTAACCTCAAAAATACATTTTATATATATATATATATATATATATACAACCCAGGACAAACTTGGAGCAAGCCAAATGATCGTCACCTTTTTTCAATTGGATTTCTGAATTCTACCAGCTTTTATTTCCCTAGCTTTGAGGCCCGTGGAAAACCAAGTTGATGTCACTAACAGGGTCCTAATGTAGAGAAGCATGAAGTCATTCTGAATGTATTAAAGTCATTAACGGATGTGACCGCAGCGTTTAGAAGAGCTTTCCCATTGGTGTAAATGAGACGACGCTGCAGCTGAATCTGCGAATCCATGTTCTTTTTGCAGACGTCTCACACATTTTGATAAATGCTGTCTTGATTGTATCATACAGTCGTGCAGAAAAAGCCTTTTTGAGCCATTTAAAGCGATCACAACCCTTTGCAAAATTTCCAAAGATTGTCATGATTTTGAAAAATAAAACGATTTAAAGCCATGTGGTAGCAATGCATTTTTTTAGCATTTATAATGAGGACGGGAGCAAATCAATGCCCCTAACAAATATCCAGGCGTTGGACCGACTAAAACTATTTTTTTCTCGTCAGCTTTTGGTTTTAAAGAACTTTAAATGCCCTTTTGTATTGTCTGCCAATTTCTTAGAGCTAAGATGCAACCTTGAAATGCTAACCACCCTTAGCATAATGCCTTAGATTTGTCCGTTCTTGTACATTACGCCGCTGTCTGTATAAATTTGTATAATGACTTGTGTACAATATTGAACGGGTGCATCATCGCTCAGTTCATCGCTCTCTGTCGTGTTATTCCCCCCCTCCTCTTTCACTGTTTTTGATGATACATAGGGATATTGAAGCAATATGTAATATATGGACTTTCTGAAGAAAGCTTTGTGTTTCGCCCTGGTTTCTTTTCTGCATTGTTCACAGGAATCACACTGTATACCCGCATCCACCTTTGTACCCCTAGTGTGTGTGTGAGTGTGTGTGTGTGTGCGCGAGTGTGTGTGTGTGTGTGTGTGTGTGTGTGTGTGTGTGTGTGAGCGTTTTATGCAAAGTTAGATATACAAGAGAAACCACAGTTATGCAAGTTGTGAACTAATATGGCTTCGCTGATGCTATTTGCCTTGTAAATAAAGAATTCTGTTATTGCAGTATTTAACAGAGTGACTCTTATTTCTGTGACTGAAATTTAAATATAATAACGCCCCCCCCCCCCCCCCCCCATGCATTGATTGTATTTCCATCATGAGTGCACAGAATATGTAACGCTTTATTAAAAACGGCTCAAAGCGACTAAATAACACTAATATTCAGTTATAACGTGTTTATTCCTGTGCTTGCTGCTTCCTTCTGTGTATTTGTTTATAAATGTAAAGTGTATACTGCATAGTGATACTGCAAATAAAAAATATTGATTGATTGATTGAACGATAATTGGAAATAAGATTAAGTATCTCACTCGAAAAACCACAGAGCGATTTAAACCCCTTAAAATTTGTGATGTAAATAAATATTTTTTTTTGTTTAATAGTGACAAGCATGATGCAAAACATAATTTCCCACTATTTTTTTTTAATTGCAATTAAGAAATTATGTTTCAGAGCATGCAAAAAAGAGAGAATAAATCGAAAAAAAGAACTTAAAATATCTAATTTTGCTCAAAATACCTTGAAATAAAATGCAAAATTCAACAGGAAATGCTTTCAAAGTAACACACCTTCATTTTGTGTGACTGCTGCTTCATTCTATGGATTTGTTTACATGGTAAGTGCATTGAATAACTTTGTTTACAGGGACAAAGACTAAACCAATGACAGCACAGTTGTTTTTATTTGCATTTAAAACAGAAAAAAGTCCGATTTTGCCTAAAAAAACGTGCAGTATCTCAACAGGAAAATGCATTACAGGAAGCACTTAATGTTATAATGTTACAGAGCCGGCAGAAAAAAGAGAGAATTAATAATAAAAAGTCATACAAATATCTAATTTTGCTCAAAATACCTTGAAATAAAATGCAAACCTCAACAGGAAATGCATTTAACGTACCTCGTTCATTTTGTGAATGCTGCTTTATTCTATGGATTTGTTTTACATGTAAAGTGCATTGAATAACTTTTTTCTACAGGGACAAGGACAGAAACAAATGACACATAGCAGCATATAGCCTAGAGTTGTTCTTATTTGCATTTTAACCCCCAAAAACCAATGATTTTGCTTAAAGAAAACTTGCAGTAGCTCCTCAGGAAAATGCATTTAAGGAAGCACTCGTTCATTTCGTTTTCTCTTCATAGCTTTATTCCATTCATTTTAAAGTAAAGTGCATTGAATACCATTTTTTTACAGGGACAAGGACTGAAACCAATCAAACCTAACAGCAGTTTGCCTAAAGTTGTTCTAATTTGCATTTTAACCCCCAAAAAAGAATGATTTGGCTAAAAAACGTGCAGTAGCTCAACAGGAAAATGCATTTAAAGCAGATCGTATCATTAGCATAGAGTCAGAGGTGTTGCAGTAATACAGATTATTATCAGCTTTCTTTTCTCCTCCTAATTCACCACATCCAAGTCATAACAGCTCCATCTAAACTCCACGGGGGGGGGGGGGAGATAGCATCGCGTGCAGGGGGGTGTGTGTGTGCGCGTGCATTGAGATGCATGAGTCTGGGAGGACCAATAGGAAGCCTGTCCTGTAGAGACCTGCCCTCAGATGACCACCGACCCTCAGAGGTCCCGCAGCATCATCTACATCCGGGCACTTTACACTCAAACCTGCAGCGAGAGGACATGAAGAGAGACTGTGGAACTTCTCTCAGGATTTAACAAGGTAAGAATCTTATTTTTTAATGTGTATTTGCACCATGTTCTCTTGTTTCTAATTCTTTATTCTGTGTATGTTTATGTTGCATTGTTTGCAGAAAGTTTATTGACAAAATTACGCTGTGGCTTCTGTGCATTTATCAATTAAATCATTTGAAAATACGCATTTATTTAAAAAAGTAGAGTTAATTGGGACGTTATTCTTCTCTGTATTGGAACTTTTTGCATGTCATTTTAAAGAAGATAAGGTCGTCAAATTGGAAATTACGCACACTCCTTTCTTAATTTCTCCTGTTAGTTATAACTATTCCCTTTGGCTCATATTGCTCCAACATCTCTCCTTCTCATGTCTTCATTTATGTTCTCCCTGACAGTAATGTGAGGTTTATAAAAAGCCTTCTAAAGATCGTCCGATTTCTTTTGGAGTTACGCACGCTCTCATCTCCATTTATCCTTATTTCTCCTGTAAATGATAATTTCCTTTAAGCTCATATTCCTCCAACAATTCCCTTTGCTGATTAAAGTGCATTGACGGTATTAGTGCAGTCTGTCAAACGCGAAAACAATATACATTCGTCCAATTTGTTTTGGGAATTACGCACGCTTCCTAATTTCTCCCGTTAATTGTAGGTATCTCCTTAGCTCATATGCTTCCAATATGTCCCTTCCTCATGTCTTTATTTTCTTTCTGCATTGGCTGTACCGTGGGTCTATAAAAGGCTTCATTAATGCTGACCTCTGCTCCGGCTCTCGGTGTGTAATTGGTGTCGTGACCCTGGTTTGTCTCTATTTACTGGCTGCCTGCTAAACGCTTCTTAAAAACATCTGATGTGTGTCCTCTCAGCTGGAAATACTGCACAGTGTGCCATCCCTCCCGTTTCACCGTGCACTGCTTTTACTTAACATGCAATAAAGCTATGTACAGGATTTTATCTGGAGGAGTCTGGAGGACGTTTTCATTTTTGAAATATTTAGAAAAAAGTCCGGATAAGTTGGAGGCTTGATTCGTTAACAAAAGATTTATCGTTACAGGAATTGCGGATCAATTTCGTTTCGTTTTAAATATTTAATTTGGATCCTTTGTGCTATTTCTATTCCTTCCTTTGAAATATGTGATATTGTGATGCATGCGTACATTTGTAGACTATACAGGGAGTGAACATATCAGAATAAGACGGACATAAAACAAGGAACAACGTGATTTTAATATATCTGCATTTCCTGATTCAGTCGAGGTTCATCCAATTTTGATCCAAAGTTATTCTTAGTTGAGTTTTTGGAAAATTAAATTAAAAGGCTCTCTTATATTATAAAGAAATCAATCCAGGTGTGGTCAGCCTATTTCCTTTTTGAGATTTTAAGGACTATTAAGGTTAATAATTTAAAAAGGAAATGTATCTATGGTCAGCCTCTATTGAGCCTTCAGTGGATCATTTGAGACATCAGACCCAAACAAAGAAACCACATTTTTTTATATATCTGCTTTTCCTCATTCTCTCGGGTTAAAGCAGTTTATATATTTTACTGAGATTATTTGTACCTCTATTTTGGATATTCCTTTTAGGCTTCCTCACATTTTTTAAGAAAATCAATCCAGGTGGTCAGCCGTCTTTTTTTAGATTCATTAAACTTTTATAAGGACTGTTAGGGTTACTCATCTAAAAAGGAAATCTATTTAGCTATGGTCCGCCTCGATGGATTATTTGAGACAAACAGGGGAGGGAAAAAACCCAAATAAGATAAACAAAGAAACCACATTTTTATATACATCTGCTTTTCCTGATTCACTCTCAATTCTACTGAGATTATTTGTATCTCTATTTTGGATATTCTTTTCGCCTTCCTCACATTCTTAAAGGAAATCAATCCAGGTGTGGTCAGCCTGTGTCTTTTTTTAGATTTCTTGCATTAAACTTTCATAAGGACTGTTAGGGTTACTCATCTAAAAAGACTTCAGACTGCAGTGGATCCTTTGAGTCGAACAGGGCCGTGAAAAACCCCAAATAAGTCAACAAAGGTCAGCCTATTTCTTTGCTGAGATTGTAAGGACTATTAAGGTTAGTCATTTAAAAAGGAAATGTATCTGATCAGCCTCTATTGAGCCGTCAGTGGATCATTTGAGACATCAGACCAAAACAAACAAACAAACCACATTCTTTTATAAATCTGCTTTTCCTCATTCTCTCGGGTTAATGCTGTTTCTGAGATTATTTGTACTTCTATTTTATATTTCTTTTAGCCTTCCTCACATTTGGAAGCAAATCAATCCAGGTGGTCAGCCTGTCTTTTGTTAGATTTCTTTCATTCATCTTTTATCCCCCTCTCTCTCTCTCTCTCTCTCTCTCTCTCTCTCTCTCAGGTCTCTCCCCTCCTCATGTCGGTGTCCCTGTCCTCCCTCCAGACCTCCATGATGATGATGAAGGGCTATCCTCTTCATCACCCTCATCATCATCCTCTCCCCCTTCCTCATCCTCACCCCCAATACATGGACTTCTTCCAGCACAACCTGCTCCACCCTCTGAAGTCTTTGGGCCGCCTGGTTTCTGACTCTCTGCAGGGAGGAAGAGGAGGAGGAGGAAGAGGAAGAGGAAGAGGAGGAAATCCACCTTTTAATCTTCAGGAACACATCCTCACCTCCTCCTCTTCCTCATACCTCACCTCAGATTTCTGCAGTCCGCTCAATGAAAGCATCTCCTCCTCCTCTTCCTCGTCTTCCTCCCCGCCCAAAGACACCCTTCTTCGGCCTTGCAGCGCAGAAATCTCCGGGGAGAATCGGAGTTCTTTTAATTTCAGCGAGGAGCAGCTCTTCATGGTTCTGTACGGATACTCCGGGGGTCCGGAGAGGAGCGGGGGCCACGCCATCTCCGGACTCACCCTGCCCGAAAAGAGCGGTGAGAGAACGGAGGAAATGATAGAATCCTTTATGGTCATTATGGTCCAATGAGATGAGCAGAGCGACTGCTTCCTTTAAGGTGCCATCAAACATACAAGACACATTCATACTTCAATATGCAGATACAGTTAAAGTGCAGGAATATATCAATTTAAGTACAAATAAATATGTTTGAATGTGTATACAAATATATATATATATATTGTGTCAGTGCAAGTTGGAGTTTAGTGCAATTATCTTTGAGTCTGATTGTCTTTGCTTTGAGATACTCCTTTAAAGTGGACCTATCATGCTATATTTGAATAATATAGTGTAGGACCATACCTATATAAGGCATATTTATACTTCTTTTTTTTTTCAATATACCAAACAGATCATGCATTTTAGCCATGCCTCATTTCGCTCAATTTGCACTGTTTTAGCAAGGGTTGATTCAGTGAGAACAGCACCACTTACAGGCCTGGCATATGTACTACAGCGTCTCCAGCGCTTTCGAACGGCAATGGCCGTGGCTGTCTCCTCCTGATTGGTGGAGTTGGCCCAATAGCCGTAGCGCCACCGTCCTGACGTCAGGACAGTGTTCAAATCTGGATCAGTTTTTATCAGATCCGTTGCAGCCCCTTTTTTAGAGATTTGGGTATGGAGGAAAATAGAGAGGGTTGTGTTTTCTGACACTTGGTGAGTTCCCTGGAACACCGGGGACACATATTCATGTAGAAAAGACGTACAAAAGTGCATTTTGCATGATAGGTCCCCTTTAAGTGAACTAAGCTATATCACTTCTTAAAATGTAGCAAACATTTTAATTGAAATACTAGAAAAACAAATATCCACTGTCTGTTGACTCTAAAGAGAGTCCTGAATTACTTATAGGTTCATTTCAGTTAACTTAGCTATAGCTTTTCTTCAAATGTAATGAGAATTAAATTAAAAATACTAGAAAAAAGGTCAAAAACAAATATCCACTGTCTGTTGAATCTAAAGGTCCATTTTGAATTATTACTTATATTCAATGAAACATCACTACCTGCTTAAATGACCCCCAGAAACTCAATTAACGAACCCTTTTCCTTCCAGTTGCTGGCTCTCACCACTTACCGCTGAACAAAAACACTCTGGAGCTTCCAGAAGGTAACACTTGATAACCTTCATCAGAATTGTTCCTACATGTTGTTGTGACTGATATTCAACCTGTTTTCTGGTTTTCTTCAGGGCTGAATCTGGTGCAGGCGTCCTGGGGAGACGTGTCTCACTGCGGTGTGTTCACTGACACCAACAACATCCCGAAGGGGACGAGATTCGGACCCTTCAGAGGAAAACTAGTGAACACCAGCGAGATCAAAACGTACGACGACAACACGCTGATGTGGGAGGTAAGGACTTTCCCACTGGTTGGGTTTTATATATACATCTCTCCTTGGGCTGGTTCCCTCTTATATTTGCACATATATGAGTAAAAAACTAAGTCTATAAGGCCTCCAGAGATTTTATTCAGATGCCGGTTCCTAAAGTGCTGATGCTCTTCTAGGTAATCATACATCCTGTCATGTTCACAGCTACAGTTGGGATACCTTTGTTATCATGTTACTCTGATATTGGAGGAGGACATTCAGTGTTTTCCCAACAATAAAGAGATTCTGATTCTGATCTTCCTCTCTGTGCTTTCAGGTGTTTGAAAACGGCCGTCTGAGTCACTTTGTGGACGGTAGAGGGGGGTCTGGGAACTGGATGTCTCTGGTGAAATGCGCTCGTTTCCCAGAGGAGCAGAACCTCACGGCGGTACAGATCCAGGGTCAGATCTTCTACGAGGCGTGTAAAGAGATCCGACCCGGACAGGAGCTGCTGGTCTGGTACGGAGACTGTTACATGCAGTTCTTAGGAATCCCTCTCACCCTGAAAGACCCCCGAAATGATGGAAACGGCACCGTGGAACCTCCCTCTGAAGGTCAGCATAAAAAAAAACCCTCTCTGCAACACACACACACACACACACACACACACACACACACACACACACACACACACACACACACACACACACACACACACACACACACACACACACACACACCTCTCTGGTTCTTTTAAAGGTCTCCTATCACCAGAGGTGGGAAGTATAGTAGTACAAATACTTCGTTACTGTACTTAAGTACATTTTTACTCCACTACTTATTTTTCTGACGAATCTTTACTTTCTACTTCTTACATGTTGAACACAAATACCTGTACTTTCTACTTCTTACATGTTGAACACAAATACCTGTACTTTCTACTTCTTACATGTTGAACACAAATACCTGTACTTTCTACTTCTTACATGTTGAACACAAATACCTGTACTTTCTACTTCTTACATGTTGAACACAAATACCTGTACTTTCTACTTCTTACATGTTGAACACAAATACCTGTACTTTCTACTTCTTACATGTTGAACACAAATACCTGTACTTTCTACTTCTTACATTTTGAACACAAATACCTGTACTTTCTACTTCTTACATGTTGAACACAAATACCTGTACTTTCTACTTCTTACATGTTGAACACAAATACCTGTACTTTCTACTTCTTACATGTTGAACACAAATACCTGTACTTTCTACTTCTTACATGTTGAACACAAATACCATACATTTTGAACACAAATACCTGTACTTTCTACTTCTTACATGTTGAACCCAAATACCTGTACTTTCTACTTCTTACATGTTGAACTCAAATACCTGTACTTTCTACTTCTTACATGTTGAACACAAATACCTGTACTTTCTACTTCTTACATGTTGAACACAAATACCTGTACTTTCTACTTCTTATATGTTGAACACAAATACCTGTACTTTCTACTTCTTACATGTTGAACACAAATACCTGTACTTTCTACTTCTTACATGTTGAACACAAATACCTGTACTTTCTACTTCTTACATTTTGAACACAAATACCTGTACTTTCTACTTCTTACATGTTGAACACAAATACCTGTACTTTCTACTTCTTACATGTTGAACCCAAATACCTGTACTTTCTACTTCTCACATGTTGAACACAAATACCTGTACTTTCTACTTCTTACATGTTGAACACAAATACCTGTACTTTCTACTTCTTACATGTTGAACACAAATACCTGTACTTTCTACTTCTTACATGTTGAACCCAAATACCTGTACTTTCTACTTCTCACATGTTGAACCCAAATACCTGTACTTTCTACTTCTCACATGTTGAACCCAAATACCTGTACTTTCTACTTCTTACATGTTGAACACAAATACCTGTACTTTCTACTTCTTACATGTTGAACCCAAATACCTGTACTTTCTACTTCTTACATGTTGAACTCAAATACCTGTACTTTCTACTTCTTACATGTTGAACTCAAATACCTGTACTTTCTACTTCTTACATGTTGAACCCAAATACCTGTACTTTCTACTTCTTACATGTTGAACTCAAATACCTGTACTTTCTACTTCTTACATGTTGAACACAAATACCTGTACTTTCTACTTCTTACATGTTGAACACAAATACCTGTACTTTCTACTTCTCACATGTTGAACCCAAATACCTGTACTTTCTACTTCTTACATGTTGAACACAAATACCTGTACTTTCTACTTCTCACATTTCCCAAACAGGCTGGTTCCTTTAGTTTGAATGTGTGTTTGGTGGCGTGATCATTATTATTTAGAGTCATTGCGTGCCTATTGATTTGAACACGATCCGTGTATCCATCATTTCCTGGTCTTCTCTAAAGAAGAGGGACCAATGAAAACGTTGTCATGTTGCCGTTGTTCAGCATGGAAACATTCATTAGCTAACAATGACATTATTGTTCTATTAATATAAAGGGAGGTCAGGTACTCTTTAAAACAGCTGCTAGTTATGGGTACTTTTTACTGAAGTACATTTCAAAGCCTCTTTACTTTTACTTGAGTAAAGAAGTTTAGTCAGTACTTCTACTTTTACCAGAGTATTTTTAAACACGAGTATCTGTACTTCTTCTTGAGTAAAGGATGTGTGTACTTTTGCCATCTCTGCCTATCATGCAAAATGCACTTGCACTAAATGCACTAAACATCACTTTATTTCTTCCCTTCCTGCAGATTCTGATGAGGGGTTCAAGTGTGACCGCTGTGGGAAGGTGTTTGCCTACAAATACTACAGAGACAAGCACCTGAAGTACACTCGCTGCGTGGACCAGGGCGACAGGAAGTTCCCGTGCCACCTCTGCACACGCTCCTTCGAGAAGAGAGACCGGCTGAGGATCCACATCCTGCACGTGCACGAGAAGCACCGGCCGCACAAGGTAAAGAAACTGTGTGTGTGTGTGATGCATTTTGCACTACTTTTTACCGGTACAAGGTACTGAAACTGTGATGCATTTACTGCAGGGTGTCTTGTTCATTTAATTGAATTTCTACTAGTACTTATCTTAACTGACAACGCTGCAGAAATGTGCATTATTACATCTTAATGTTAACGCTCATGTGGCGCTGAAAGAACAGCAGAGCCATTTATTAGGCCTCTTCAAAAATGCACATTTGTTTTGTTAAAATGGACATCACGGCAATATAATACAACATACATTTATGACAATGCACTTTGTTTAGTATTTGGACTACTTTTGACCTGTCCACTAAAATAACCTTTACTATGGCCCCCGACATGCATTCAACTAAACTAAACCAACACATTAGATGCATATCAATCCACATCTACTATGCATACTACTCTTATTATAGTGGATTAATTTCTGCAACAAAAAACATATTAGTTTAAGATATCTTCCAGAAAGAGATATGAGAAATTGAAATACGTTTGTCTCGTTAATGTCTTGTATCATGTATGTCATATATTGTATTTTATTAACGTGTGTGTGTGTGTGTGTGTGTGTGTGTGTGTGTGTGTGTGTGTGTGTGTGTGTGTGTGTGTGTGTGGTGTGTGTGTGTGTGTGTGTGTGTGTGTGTGTGTGTGTGTGTGTGTGTGTGTGTGTGTGTGTGTGTGTGTGTGTGTGTGTGTGTGTGTGTGTGTGTGTGTGCGTGTGTGTGTGTGTGTGTGTGTGTGTGTGTGTGTGTGTGTCCTGCAGTGCTCGGTGTGTGGAAAGAGCTTCTCTCAGTCCTCCAGTCTCAACAAACACATGAGGGTTCACTCCGGAGAGAGACCCTACAAGTGTGTGTACTGCAACAAGGTGAGAGGAGGACACTTCATTTTCATTTTAAAAACAGGGACGAATAGGCCGCAGTTATCAGATGTACACTCTGAAGTACTACACCCTAAACCTTTAAACGGAAATGTAGATAAAGAAATAGATATATTGGATTAGCACGTCCATTTTGCATTCATTTATTTTAAAGGGCCTTTCAAGAATAACCAATAAAATAAGCAGCAAATTATCAATAAAATTAAAGTACAATCCCTTTTATATAACTTAAATAACCACTTAGTATTTGTCATATACAGTATAACTTAATTATTTACCTTAAAGTGTAAATTAAATAAAAAACAACTTCAATGATTATATCAAATATGATTTATAATTAGCATGTCCCAATACTTCAAAATGTGTTTCAAAATTCACTCACATTTTAATTACATTTCTTTAAAAAATGCATTGCTTATTCTGAACAGTATGCCTCCTCTTCCTCCTCCTCCTCCTCATTTGGATCCATTTACTCCTCCTCGTGTCACGGTGCATTTGCCTCGCGCCCCTCACCATTGTTTTCGGGGGGTTTGCACGCGCCGCGCAGACACTTACATGCTAATTATCGCCAGATGTGCCCCCCCCCTCTTTGTCTGCAGATTATTTCTGAGTTTACTGCAGGAGGAAGAAGTCTTTGTGTCTCTTCTTCCTCGTGTCCTCCTCCTACTTTTATCACCGCGAGGGGTTCAATAATCCTCTTCATCGTCATCTCTTAATAAGAGAGGAGGGGTGCATTTAAAAACTGTGGATAAAGAAACGGAAATTAAAAAGTTTGACTTGTTTTACTAGATTTCCCTTTTATTCAAAGACACTAACTAAGTGCTCCGTAAAGATTAACATTATCTACGAATATGAATAAGCCAAACCATAATAAGGGTAACGCACAGAGGTGTTTTATTTAGCCTAGTTTTGTTTGTATTTATTTATGTTCTTACCTATTTTGATTTGTTGTATATTTTTCGCCAAGCACTCCTTTTCAATAATCGTTACATAAAGTCAGTAAACGGTCAAAATAGATGATTTTAGCCTGAAGTAATCTGAACGAATTTACATAGGCCTACTACATACAAATGGAAACCAGCTAGAATTTGAAAGTACACAACCGAAAAGAATCTGCCCCTTCCTGTCAGACTTCCTCCAACACACACGCACGCGCACATGACCAATGAGGGCACGAGATACATTTGTGCACAAATGGAAGGCTGACAGGCAGGTAGGCCATCCAGTTATTTTAGCCGGGCCTGCTTTTTACAGTACTACAGCTTCCACAGATGAAATATTTTTTATGTATTTATTGTCAAAGCATTTAATATATTCATTGCTATCGGGATGTTAAGAGCATTCCATGGAATATAACAACAAGTGTTTCTGAAGTGAATCACCTACCCCACCTTTAAAAACGTGCATAAGGAAACTGAAACCAAAATGTTAGACCCGATTTATTTGTGATAAATAAGTGTTTCATAACGTAAAATGCAAAGCTAAGATAAAGAAACCCGTTTCCACTGCACCTTGGCCATTAAACCGAACACAAAATGTAGTATTTAAGAGATTTAAAGCTTATTTTAAACTAACGCACAGCATTAACAGTGGCTTAAAGCGAGAGAATCTGGATTTGTCTTGGGGGTTTTGTTTCTATATTCACTGTTTAATCGGGTAATGTAAGGTAATAGAAAAACACCTGGTACTTTGTAACAACACTGAGATTAACATATGTTTATCCTGCGATCATTTCCTGCTGTCAAAATGTGATTTAACACAGCGGGAGGAGAGTTTTAAATAAGAGTTAGAGGGTTTCTTTAGTGAGAAGAAGGGACGATCGCATTTGAACTGTGGAGGAAAACGGAAACAAAAATGGACTCGTTTTATTTGCTATTAATAGTAAGAAACAGGTTAAAATGCGTTATATTATGGAATAAATCAATATAAACTCAGCTTCCAGAGAACTCACGGACCTCTGCATCACTCTCAGTTTTTAAGAAAAGCCTCAAGAGTCAGACCCACCTTTCCCGCCCCCATTTCACTGACTGTCCTTTACTTGATTTATGTTGTATTCTAACCTTTTATGCTCTTAAAGGTGGGGTAGGTAATTCACTTCAGAAACACTTTCTGTTATATTCCATGGAATGCTCTTAACATCCTGATAGCAATGAATATATTAAATGCTTTGATAATAAATACATAAATACATTCATCTGTGGAAGCCGTAGTACTGTAAAAAGCACGACCAATCATTTTAGATAAAATAACTGGATGGCCTACCTGCCTGTCAGCCTTCCATCTGTGCACAAACTTATCTCGTGCCCTCATTGGTCATGTGCGCGTTCGTGTGTGTTGGAGGAGGGGCTCTGAAAGGAAGTCTGAAGGAAGGGGCAGATTTTTTTCGGCTGCGTACTTTCAAATTCTAGCGCACTCGAGCTGGTTTCTCCAAAATTACATACCCCACCTTTAACCTTTTTTATATCACCATATTTTATTCAATATGCTCCTTAGATAACTTTGTATTTTCTCCTCATAGCATTGTGAAGCACCTTGAGATGACGTTGTTTTTAAAAGTGTGCTTTCTAAATGAAATGTATTATTCTTATTATATTATTATTAAACTGTCCTCTCTCCTCAGGCCTTCACCGCCTCCTCCATCCTGCGCACGCACATCCGGCAGCACTCCGGGGAGCGGCCCTTCAAGTGCGCGCACTGCGGGAAGGCCTTCGCCTCGCACGCGGCTCATGACAGTCACGTGCGGCGGACTCACGCGAAGGACCCGCCCCCCCCCTGCGATCTGTGCGGGGCCAACTTCAAGGAGGACAAGGAGCGCAAACTCCACATGAAGAACCACCTAGGTGACACATTATTTCATAATTAAATGCATTTTTAAGGCCTAACAAGCGATGTATTATTTGTATTAATATTTGTTTACATGTATTTTAATTTGTATTATTATTTGTATTATTAGTGTTATTTTATTAGTAATATTTTATTATTATTATATACTTTTTAAAACCGTTTCTTTGTCGTTTTTATTTAATTTTACGGTTATAATTTGGATTTCCACATTTGAGTTGATATAAGAAACAAGTGAAAAATGTATTTGAATATAATGAGAAGAATATTTTACATTATCCCTTAATAAGGAGTTATTGCCTAGAATATGGGAATCTAAATATCTTTTTAGTGCCACAAGTGTTGATAAATGAATGTTTTGTATATGCAAGTAATTTAAACAATTACATTTAAATACATTTCAGGGTAAATCCATGCATTAATGCACTGAATATGGGACTTTTAATGTCTTTTAATGACAGAATGTGCATACAAATGAATGCTTGTTAATGCAGTTGGTTACAATCTACAAGTATATTATTGTTTCCTATATTTAAGGCTGCAAAACGAAAGATGTATGAAATGTGGTCACTTTATTAAACGTGTTTCTCGCTCTGCAGACAGACGAATCCCGGACAGCACCGTTCTTCCCATTTCTCCGGACGCTGGACTTCTGGAGAAGGAAATTCCCAAATCACAGAAGACGTTTCCTCACAGCGGGATCATGGTTTTAAATCAGGAATATCGGCCCTGGAATTAGATGAACTGTGAACCCTGAGGTTCCAGAAAACAGGCACTACCAGGAGAGAGAGAAACATCAATCAGAGGTTTTTCTGAATGTAAATGCTGCTTAATAATAAAAAAAAGCTCTATAATTAAAAGTCTATTTAAATAGGCTTATCCTAATTTAATTTGTTGGCAAAAATGTCTAAATCTATTTAATATATGTTGTTGTTTGTTGTCTTAAACTCTGTTTTGTGAACCACAATAATAATAACAACTATTATTTAATTATGTTTTCGTGCATCGACAAACGCTTGAAAAGCTATTTTTATCATTGTAGGTCTGAGCCTATTTGTGTATAAAATGAATTGTTGTCTTAATTTATTCTGTATAATAATGTTTTGTATGTCCGGCTGCAGAAGCTTTTGTTTATCTGAGCTTTTTCATGATCAACAAATAAAAAATCAGCGCATGGAAAACAAATTGTTGCTTTTGGTTTAATGAGAAAATGAGAATAAATGGACGAATTGAATTTAACAACAGAAAATGTCCCTTTAAATGTATATTATTACACATTGTAGTTCATGCATATGTATTTATGGCTTAAAGACTGAATGATTTGAACCAGAAATGTCTCAAATAACAGGATCATTTAAAAATAAAGAGCACAGACTTTATTCATTCCCAGCAAATTAAAGAAATTACATTTTATTCTGTTACGCCATCCTTGCAAACAAACTATCAGTGTCCATCAGTCGTGTTCAATAATTCAGATAATGCTCTCTGTGTTGGTTAACATATCTGCACTTGTGTGTGTGTGTGTGTGTGTGTGTGTGTGTGTGTGTGTGTGTTTAAATGCAGCTTGTTGTGATGGATTGGAGTGTGCACGCTGGCAGTAAAATGAACAAACCCCTCCGGAGCTAATGAATGAGAATAGAGTGCAGCAGTGAGGTGGTCTGCTGGAGACAAAGAGCTCAGCGTGACGGACATCTGCCCCTCACCAACTGCCCACATGTGTCCACACATCATCTCAGACAGGGGAGGAAGACGTGAGCGGAGACTTTACTCAAGTAAAAGTCAGTTATTGTCATACGAGAAGTCCCAGGCTCCTCCAACAGTGAACACATTTAAGACTAGAAGTAAAACTGGGCAAGAGGAAGAAGTGCTCCGAGACTTTACTCAGGTAAAAATAGTATTTCATGACGTGAAAGTAGTATTTCCCTACTGTTAGTCAAGTGAAAGTAGTATTTCCTGACGTAAACTCAAGTAGCATTAACACAGTGCAGGATACTCTGATACTCTGATACATGCAAAAGTCCTGCAAGAAAATCATTAGCGTCAATATATACTTAGGTTTTATTGTCATGCGAGAAGTCCCAGGCTCTTCCAACAGTGATTATCGTAAACATACTTAAGATCTCAAAACAACTGGGCAAGAGAAAGGTGAAAGAGACACCGTGCAGGATTAAAAGTGTTAAAAGTCAAAGGGAATCAAAATAAACAACATTGATGCATTATGTTTACATCACTTGACTTTATATTCTGTAAAGTTGGTGTAAAAGTTCAACATTTACCTCTTAGATCGAGTCTAAACCAGAAAGGTGTGGTACTCAACTGAAGTACAGTGTGTGTGTGTGTGTGTGTGTGTGTGTGTGTGTGTGTGTGTGTGTGTGTGTGTGTGTGTGTGTGTGTGTGTGTGTGTGTGTGTGTGTGTGTGTGTGTGTGTGTGTGTGTGTGTGTGTGTGTGTGTGTGTGTGTGTTGGGGTTAATTTGAGGAAAGCCTCTCTTGTTCCAGCTGTCAGCAGCGTGAGGTCTGACGGATGAAACAGTGTCCATCTTTTGTGTCTCTGCTCTGAAATGTCACCTTTAACCTCGGGGTCAATTCACACCGAGACATGATGCTAAGTGAGAGCTGACACACATGCATCTGTATGAGAGGAGAGATAAAGCAGAAAGGGAAGGAAACTAGAAGAAAACTAGAAGATAACTCGGATGTTTTTGAGACACTTGATGTGAAATCTCCCTGTTTTTGCCATAATATGTTTAAATGAGACGTATTTTTGCGCTGTGTGTTTATGGTGTGCACCGGATGGACGGCAGGCTTCAGGGTCAGAGGTCTCCTCCTCACTGAATGTCTAACAGCCTCCCTCTCCCTTCAAATAGCCGAAATATGGATGCTTGAACAAGTGTAGATCACCCTGCGCCTCCCATGTTTACAACCCCCGAGGTCCCATCAGGGCCCCTCTGTGAAAAGAGAGGACCCTCCCCTTTGTGGAGGGGAGGAGGAGAGGGAAGGACACAAAAAGAAAGACAGAAGGAGAGACAAGGAGAATGATCTGCCAGAGCTGAAATACTGACATTGTTAGCGAGCCGTGCTAAAAGATTGGTTTTACTAGCTCCTCTGTGATTGGCTGCTGATTGAGTTGCTTTTAGTTTTTTAGCTCCCCACAAATAAAACACACTTCCAGAAAACCTGAGGTCCTCGAACTCTACTTGTGTTTTAATGTCTTCACCAACGCTGAGTTCTTTTACACTGCAAACATGTGAAATCTTGCCAAGTCTAATTTCTGTCAGAACATGTCGTTACACTTGATAGAAGACTTAATAAGTGTTTTTAGACAAGGCATCTTAAGCATCTTTCTAAGTCAAAGTCTCTTAAACACATCTTATTTTATAGGAAAATCTCCACTAACTAACATCAGAAAGCTGAACATGTCTGAGCATTTCTGGCTTTTTTTGTTACAAATTCTCTAATTCTGGTCAAATATAGTTCAAAATAAGTTTTCAGCTAAATACAAAATCTCATGTATCTAATCATCCCATCTTTACTTTGAGAAATCTCACCAAGCCATTTTGTACTTGTTCTATTGGCAGATTTGTTCACTTATTAAAAGCGTAAACACCTTGTTTTTATTATACATTTACTTGTTTTTGGAGCAGCTAAAAACATTTCTTTTTTCAGCTGCTTACCGAGAAGTCTTTTAACTTGTTTTAGCAGCTTCTGTATTTACAATGTTGTTTTAAACCATCTCTTTTATGCATCTGTTATTCCATTGTGTTTATTAATTGTGTTCCTTTCTGTTGTCTTCTTATTAAATGTTAATGATGAAGTAAAGCACTTTGAATTGCCTCTGTGTCTGAAAATGTGCTTTATAAATAAACGTACCTTACCTCTCCAAGGAAACAAAAAGAAAGACAGAAGGAGAGATCTGCCAGAGCTGAAATACTGACATTGTTAGCGAGCCGTGCTAAAAGACTGGTTTTACTAGCGCCTCTGTGATTGGCTGATTTAAGACTCAGGGCTCAAGGATGCAGGAATTTTTATCCGTGCCGTTAATGCGGATTGATTTCACACTTAACCTCCTGGCATTAAGCCTCCAGAGGGCCGTCCGCCACATTAATCTCTGTATTAATGTGATATTAATGATAGCAGCTTGATGGTTTCACTGAGGCATTACTCTCTGCAGAATAATAATGTGGTATTGATATAAAGAATTACTGCTGCACCACCTGTGAGCTGCAGAATGGAGAAATGCATTTCGTCCTGATGGAGAGATCTCTCTGTCTGCTAAGCTAGTGCAGCTGAGTGGTCAAATGCTCTGATGTATTAGCCCCTATTGATTTCCTAATAGCTGTCAGTGAGTGTGTGTGTGTGTGTGTGTGTGTGTGCGTGCGTGCGTGCGTGAGTGTGTGTGTGTGTGTGCGTGTGTGTGTGTGTGTGTGTGTGTGTGTCTGTGTGTGTGTGTGTGTGTGTGTCAGACTCTCAGCTGATGGACTCATAAACTCACCACAGCTCTGCTCCATCTGTGCCTCAGTCTGCCTCAAACCACACGAGAAACTCAGCGAAGACGAAGCAGAAGTACGAAGCTTTAAACTTTTTACAGCGTGTGTTAAACCCTAATATATCTGCACATATACCATTTAAAAACATACTTTATTTCATGTGTTTTGGGGCATTCAGACTCAGCTGATTCTTGCAATGTATTTAACCAGGAATATTCCAATTGAAATGTATAACCCTACACATAATGGAGTCATTGGCATTGAAATAGAAATGTGTAGTGAAAGCTTCGAACACAAATTGTTGATTTACATAACGGACACCAATTTGTACCATCAACCTGGATATTTAACGATTTATTAAATGGTACTGTGCATTAATTTATTCTGCAATGTGTGGAAGAAGATAACTGAGGTCTAAAGGTCAGGATACGTTTTCTTACTCAGACCAAACTCTTCCAAAAATATGTCCAAAGAAAAGCGAGATAATTAGACATGTTTTGCACTAACTGCACTTTTATTTACTGTATTTCTCGTGTTTATTTATATCTCATTTACATTGATTTTTAACTTTTTTTATCGTGCATGTAAATGTTCTAATGAATTGCTTTAGTTTGACAGCAATAACCTCATCTTAATTCCTTTTATCCGTTTTTTTCTCCAGTGTTTGGAGCCATGCCTCCTCTCATGCTGTGATCAGAGTCATCTCTCCAGAATAATGTGAGTGAAATCCTCTGAAAGGCTGCAGTGAGCCTGAGATGATGGGCTTCAGGACGGAGCTGCTGTTATCCACGGTGATTTCCACGGGGAGCAGGAGCCACACATCAAACACTGTCTGCACCCAGTGTGTGTGTGTGTGTGTGTGTGTGTGTGTGTGTGTGTGTGTGTGTGTGTGTGTGTGTGTGTGTGTGTGTGTGTGTGTGGTGTGTGTGTGTGTGTGTGTGTGTGTGTGTGTGTGTGTGTGTGTGTGTGTGTGTGTGTGTGTGTGTGTGTGTGTGTGTGTTTTCTAGGTGGGATTGATGAGTGAGAGGCAGATGGCCTTATCCTGCTCTGTGGGGGCTGGTGTAGGTTCCACTGTAGTCCCGTGGGGCAACATATTTTGGCCCTAACCCCACCGGCCCCCGACACACACACACACACACACACACACACACACACACACACACACACACACACACACACACACACACACACACACACACACACACACACACACACACTCTCTATTAACCCAAGCAACCCCAAAGTTATAGAGGGCTGTGCATTGGGGAGAGCTACTGATCGAGCGAGCGAGCGAGGAGCCAGCGAGGAGCGAGCGAGCGAGCGAGCGAGCGAGCGAGCGAGCGACGAGGAGCGAGCGAGAGAGCGAGCTGAGCGAGGAGCGAGCGAGCGAGCGAGCCAGCCAGCCAGCCAGCCAGCCAGCAGCGAGCCAGCCAGAGAGGTAGCGAGCGAGCGAGCGAGCGAGCGAGCGAGCGAGCGAGCGAGCGAGCGGGCGAGTGAGTGAGTGAGTGGGTGAGTGAGAGGGCGAGTGAGTGAGCGAGCGAGCGAGCGGCCGGACGAGCGAGCGAGCGAGCGAGCGAGCCAGCGAGCGAGGAGGCGAGCGAGCTAGCGAAGCGAGAGAGCGAGCGAGCGAGCGAGGCGAGCGAGAGAGCGAGCGAGCGAGCGAGCGAGCGAGCGAGCGAGCGCGAGCGAGCC